TTGTTGCAGTTAGAAAGCTTTTTGAGATCTAATTTAGTCAGAAAGGAAGAATGGTGTAGAAACACCATATCCCTGAAACCCATTCTACTGCCTACAACTTTACAAAGAAAGTGGTTCAGTTGACTTAACCTTTGATATTGCTAATAAGATTCACCCATCATTTATACTTCAGTATGGGTTAGTCAGTTTATGGTCTCAATATTTGAAACTAAACCATGGCAGATGCAAGAAATAAAGATGAAATTTTGAAGACGTGAGTCTTTAAGAAAGGGCAAACTAGAATATTTTTAAAAATCTCATTTTACTTCAGGTTCTGGGGTACATGTGCAGGTCAGGCAGGGTTGTTGCATAGGTGCATACTAAATCCGGCATTTCTCCCCACGTTATCCCTCCCCACCATCCCCACGCCCCTGCTGTCCCTCCCCTAGCTCCCACCAACTGCCCCCAGTGTGTGATGCTCCTCTCCCTGAGTCCACGTTCTCATTGTTCAACACCTGCCTAAAAATTAGAACATGCAGTGTTTGGTTTTTTGGTCTTGTGTCAGTTTGCTGAGAATAATGGTTTCCAGATTCATCCAAGTCCCTACAAAAGACACAAACTCGCTTATGGCTGCATAGTATTACATGGTGTCTAAGTGCCACATTTTCTTTGTCCAGTCTGTCATTGATGGGCATCTGAGTTGGTTCCAGGTCTTTGCTATTATACACAGGGTTGCAATGAACATACGTGTGCATGTGTCTTCATAGAAGGATTTATAGTTCTTTGGGTATATACCCAGTAATGGGATTTCAGGGTCAAATGGAATTTCTATTTCTAGATCCTTGAGAAATCGCCACACTGTCTTCTACAACAGTTGAACTAATTTATACTCCCACCAACTGTGTAGGAGTGTTTCTATTTCTATACATCCTCTCCAGCATCTGTTGTCTCCAGATTTAATGATTGCCATTCTAACTAGCATGAGATGGTATCTCAATGTGGTTTTCATTTGCATTTCTCTAATTTTTTCATGTTTCTTGGCCTCATATATGTCTTCTTTTGAAAAGTGTCTGTTCATATCCTTCACCCACTTTGCAATGGGGCTTTTTTCTTGTATATCTGTTTCAGTTCTTTGTAGATTCTGGATATTAGCCCTTTGTCAGATGGGGAGACTGCAAAAATTTTTTCCCTAGAAAGGTTTTTTGAGGATTATTTTATTTAAGGCAGAAACATGAAAGCACCACGTTATACAGTGTTACTCGATGGAAATATGCTATCCATTGAGTCACAGCAATGTTACTGATGAAGAAAGTTACAAAGAACATGAATTTGCCTGGATCCAGTCTTCATACTATGTCTTTCATTTTATGCTGCCTCCCTGATGGCAGTGGACAGTACAAGGTAATACAATTTTAAGATGTCTTAGTTATGCAATTTAGCTTCATTCCAAGCATAATTTACTTTAGGCTGTCTATGTACTTGTTAGCATAGATAGCTAAGGAACAAGCATTACTATTAAATTTCTAATCATTTGCTTGCTCTCCTGTCATTACATTACAGCTATTAGCACAAATACAAATTAAGTCATATGCATTAAATCCAAGCGTTTAAGCCTTGTTTATACTAATATTACTATCTGCTAGAGACTCTTCTAAGCAATTTGAATACATTATATACAATATATCATATAAATATATAAATCCTTCATACCTTTAAAAGTTTTTCTGAACTTGTAGATGAAGAAACTGAGGACATACAGGTGTAACAACTTCCTCTTAATTATGCCAGAGGCAGTATCAGGCAGATGTAGAAATGAAATTTGTATAAAATTCCAAGTCTGAGTTGTTTCCATTTCTTAATTTGGTTGTTTTCACTCATGTTTGAAAATATATCATTTTCAGAAACTTATTTCATGTCTTTCTCAGATCAGTTAATAAATTACATGCCATCTCTTCTTCATAAAATAAGAAATATCTTTATATATGATATCATTTTTTTTAAGACTAACAGGCAGGCCAGCCTATGGTTTTAAGAAGTACCAGTTTAATAATGATATTTAGAAATATGGTACAGATACCATAGCAATATAAAATGCATACAATTTTAAATTATTTTCTTATAAACTCTCTACATGAATGGCTGACAGCTTCCAACAGATAAACTTCTGGGCAAAGGTAGAAGATATTTTTAGACATTCATTTTAAATACCATCTAGTCATCCAATTAGGTTTCTAAAAATATAAATATGACAAATATATGGATTTCTGAAGTATAAATTGACATACAAATCTATATATTTTCTTAATACTTTTTAAAGCATCTTTAAAGAAGCATTCTATAACATGAAGTTGAGAGTTCAAATTAGCTGTAATGAAAAGGCATGAGGTTTTTTCAGAACTGTGTAATTCGCATACCAAATTTTTACATAAAAGTAAACACAAAATTGAAAAGCAAAATACATATTTTACTCTCCAAGTTACCAACTTGAGAAAACTACTCACTGGAAAAATTAAGATAATATTCCCAATTCTAAATGTTAATAGGAAAACACACACAATTCCAGAAACTTAACTCTACCTTCTAAGAAGCAGTGAAGGAGTAAGGCAACACTGCTCCTTGGGGATTGTCAAAGCTTTCCTAGAACTGCTGGAGAGTTTATTCCCTTTTGAGAGAGAGAGAATCAAAACTCTTTCCATTCACCAGCATACAAACCTGTGATAAGCTTTGTTTTCCTAACTTAACACCTGATCAGAAGTCTGAATCATAGGTTAGTGAATTGATCCCTAAATGTGCCCACTTCCATCTCCCCGCAACAGACAGCTCCAGAGGAAAAAAAAAATGTTATCTTTTCTCACCTGAAAAGTTTGAATGAAGTATCTATTTTGAATTTATAGAGAAGAAATAACAATCTTACACATGGGCTAGTTTGATGGAACTTAAGCTCTTACATTTCAAGTCATAAATGCTAGTTATTAGAACATGTTCCTTAGTGGAATTTAAACCATCAACCCTTAACTGGTATATTGCTAATTTTAAAAGTTAATATGGGAGAAATAAAAGGATTTCCTGAACTAATTTAGAGTAGTGGTCTTTAACTCTGACTATAAATTTGAAACACTCAAAGAGTTTTTGGAAAAACAGGCACGGCTCCACCTTCCAGAAATTCAAATGTAATTGTTATGAGGTGGGTTCCATATTAAAAGTCCTCAGATGATTCTAATATGGAGGGGGTTGAAAACTACTGACTTGGAACAATAATTAAAGTATTAATTACTCATAGTGGTCTTTATTTAAATAAAGTATTTAAAATTTAAATATATGAGCACTTCTTATGTAATAGGCACAGTTCTAAGTGCTAATAAGGAAGAAAATTTTTAAATAAAATCATTGGATCACATTAATTTTATCATTTGAATAGTTATGTACATTTATTAAAATATCACTCAAACTTCTTTTATAATCTGCTGTCACAAAAGATTTCCTTCTACTTTTCTGAACCACCCTCCACTTGATACTACGGCAAAAGAGGTCATACTCAGAAACTTTTCCTTAAGATATATGGAGAGAACATAAGAATTTAAGATTCCATTTTCAAGTCACAGTATATGAGGTATTCTCCATCTTATATCTGGAGTCACAAGTCATAACCTAAGAACCGAAATAGGCATTGTTTGGATGCTTAACTGAATCTCCTAGATCAAGACCAACTCCCACTGGTATCAGTGCTTGCTTTAAGTTGCCTTAAAAAATATATATATGGCAGATCCTGGGGGGACCTAGTAAGAGTGGGTCTTTTAATGCAGACCTTGTATCTTATAATCTATTTATAAAACAATTCTTAAAAAACATTACGGGAATATGGTTTTTGAAACATACATAGTTAGAAATTAGTTATCTCAAAAGAAATAAAAAAAATATAGTTTTTGAAATACTACATAATTAGATATTAGTTACTATCCCAGGATGATAGCTAGAGCTTTTGTATTTTAAGTTAGAACCATCTTTTAAAGGTATTATAAAGCTCATTTAAAATATACTTTAACTTAAGAAAAAAAAAATTAGGTTTAAATTAGCCCAAACCAACTGAAAAATTTATTAATACTATAGTAGATTATCTTTTATATCTAGACAGTAAGCCCAAAATAATACAATTTTGGTTAAACCATAATAATTGCATATATAGGAAAATGCAATAGCAATCTGTTTTCCATTCTTGATGATTAAAATAGCTGCAATTTTTTTTATGAAAGCTCAGTAGTCAAAATACATATTTAATGAAAAGACATACCATAACAAAATATCAAGAACTTAGCATTTGAAAATAAACTGTCACATTGTTTTGCTTTCAATCAAACAGAACTGAATTCAGTGGCTTAAGGTATCTAATTAAATTGTGACTTTGGAAACAGAAAATTAAAATCCAGGTAAGACCAGAGAGCTAACACAAAGATGATAGAGAAGTTTCCTAAGTTATTACTCAAAAGTTTAGAATTATTGGGACTTCTCAATGACTATGACCTAAAGAAACATGAATAGTTTGGGAAGTAATAGTGAAAAAAAAAAAAAAGAAATAAATTAGTTTGGGGAATAAAAGTAAAAAACAAAAAACATGATTATGTGACTCATCTTGTGATACTCTCAATAAGTAAAATCAAATAACAAAAAATACAGTACATATGAGCACCATTAGAAATGTGTGTATGTATGTAGCTATATATGTGTCAAATTTTACCTGATTAAAGATTGCATTAAGTTAAAAACAAGTATACAGTTATGAAAATATGTTATCATGACTTATTTTAAAATGTTTCATCCAGCATTTTTTCTAGAACTAAACCAAAGAATACAACAAAAAGTCAGTATGCTTTTGTAGTGCAAAGTCTCCTGATTAAATAGAACTACTTAAAAAAAGTGTTCAACAAGTGTTTTCAATTCATAGCTAGATTCTAAGAGATACAAGAAAAATGAAGTAGAAGAATAAATGGGAATTCATAGAATAAACCAGTACAGGTTGGATTTGTCCTCAAGGGATTATCATTCAGGCATCAAATTATTTTTAATTGAGAGCAGTAAAGATTACACTGCCAGAAACACCTTCTTTCTATAATAAGAAGTGTAAATTTGTCACTTTCACTGTAATATTTCTGCTATATTCACCCAAACTTTGTAAACAGCCATATGTCATATGATATACATCCTGGGATAATACAAGTCTTTAATGAAAATCTTACTTTGATCCTACTTCAAGGCAGCTCATGATTGACCATTAGGAACCCTTGAACTTTTTTTTCAAAGCTCCCAGCAGAAGCAATCACGTGATAGATTGATGTTCTTTGATACCATTGTCACATGATAAATATTAATGCTATTCACCATTTAAAATACGCTCAATCTCTTCTAGTCTTTTTAAAGCAGCAACTCTTTTCTTCTCAATTTCTTTGATGTCTTTTGCTGTTTTGTGAGGGGTCTCTTTGTCTCTATTTTTTCCTAATTGTTTGTTGGATTTAGATGGACTTTTATTATCACTTGTTTTTACTATTTGTGTTTGTCTGGATTCATCTCTGATTTCTTTTACACTTTCAGCTGGAATTTTGTCTCCTTCTACACCTGAAGTCTTACTGGTTGGGAGCATTGGCTGTTCTACAAAACCAGATGAGGAAATCTTATCCCTGACTATATTCAAATGACGCTGAATATATTCTTCATGTGGTGCTAATGCCAATGTTTCAACAAGGCATCTTTCAGCTTTTAATAAGTCTTTTTCCTCAAAATAAACAACGCAAAGATTGTGTTTTCCTTGCACATTGCTTGGATCCATCTCCAAAATCTTTTCAAAACACTTTTTTGCTCCTAGTATATCTTTCTTTTGATTCATCAGAATGTCTCCTTTTAAAATGAGGCCCTTGATATGATCAGGGTAGTATCTGAGTAACTCTTCCAAAATTGGCAAAGCCTTTAATTCCTTTGCAGTCTGGGAATACAGGAGAGCTAGATTAAACAAAGCACTTCGGAAGTCAGCTTGTAACTTTATGGCTTTCTTCATCCAAATCTCTGCTTCATTGTCCTTTTTGTCATCCATGGCAAGCATTCCCAAATTGAAATAGCCATTAGCATCCAGTGGCTCTTCATTTATGTAGCTTAGAAGTCGTTTTCTAGCTTCAGGTCTGAGTTTAACCTCACCTAGAAAGTTTTTTAAAGAAAAAAAACTCATACTGTTAGTACAATAATTAAATGTGAGGAACAAAGCCATTTTCAAATACTTAGATTACAAAAAAGCTTTAACAACTAATTTCCATAGTTAAAAAAAGTAGAAAGCAAAAACCTCGAAGTCTTCACAGGAAAATCAAAATATATGAAACAGTAAAAAGACAGCTTATTTCCTTTCCTTTAAAACAGTAAGAGTGCTTCAGAAAACAAAATGAGAGAAATGTCTCTTATAATATAGAATTCAATTGGAAATGGAAAACAGAGAATTCAGAGAAAGAAGCATAGGATTTGCCAACAAAGACATGTATTCAATCTTGATTCTGATAACATTATGACTTTATACACTGAACAAGTTATTTAACTTCTCCAGGTTAACTGAATTTTCTAAGAATTAATATGATATATATTGGAAAATTAATGGTAACTATTTTACTGGGTAGAAAAATGTTGCAGAATCACTGTATCACATTCTTTTTTTTTGAGACAGAGTCTTGCTCTGTCACCCAGGCTGGAGTGCAGTGGTGAGACCTTGGCTCACCGCAATCTCCACCTCCCTGGTTCAAGTAATTCCCCTGCCTTAGCCTCCTGAATAGCTGGGATTACAGGTGCATCCCACCACATCCAGCTAATTTTTTTTTTTGTATTTTTAGTAGAGATGGGGTTTTAGCACATTGGCCAGATTGGTCTCGAACTCCTGACTCAGGCAATCTGCCCACTTTGGCCTCCCAAAATGCTGGGATTACAAGTGTGAGCCACCATGACTGGCCAGAATTACTATATCACATTTTAAAAAATGTTACTTCAAAATGTTAGGAACGTTTTGAGGATAAAAACATACGATTAAATATGAGGCTATAAAATTAGGATTTAGGAAACATACATCTTCTTTTTTTTGAGACAGGGTCTCACTCTGCCACTAAGGACGGGGGGTAGTGCTGTGACCATAGCTCACTGTAACCTCAAACTCCTGAGCTCAAGCAATTCTCCCACTGTGGCTTCCCGAGTAGCTGGGACTATAGGCTTGTGCGACCATTCCCTGCTGATCTTAAAATTTTCTGCGGATACAGGGTTTCACTATGTTGCCCAGGCTGTTCTCAAACTCTTGGCCTTCAATGATCCTCCCATCTTGGCCTCACAAAGTGCTGGGATTACAGGCATGAGCCATGCCTGGCAGGAAGCAAATCTCCATTGAGGTAATTTCTATTGCAAAATAATAAAAAAAAATGTTCAAGTACTACAATTACAAACCTTATGGTGCAATCTTGTGTCTAATAATGAGCTTCTTTCATGGTAATCAAGGTAGATAACTTTACAAAAGTATTAGCTTTTCTCCAAATTTATACTCTTTTGAATACCAGGCATAGAGATTTCTCTCTATTCTTTTATTTGGCAGCATGATGGATAATGAAAATATGAAAATTAATCAGGAGGCTTCAGTTGTTATCTTGGATTAGTACTTAGCCATGGGACTTTGGGGCAGTCATAAAATGTATTTAGTTTCACTCTGCTAAATAGAAGGCTGGCAAAATGCAAACTCAAAGGTCCTCTTTAGCTCTAAAATACTATGACTTTATGATTCTTTCATATTTTACAAAAGTTTTAAGAAATGTATCCAAGAAATAACTAACCATTAAAATAGATTTTTCTATTTAAAAATTAAAAAGATTATAAATCATATACACTGTCTTGAGAGGCAGAACTAAAATTTCTATATAAAATATGAATGAAATATCCAGATTTACTGTGGTTAATAATTTACTTTTGCTAAATTATAGAAAATATAGAATATTACAATAGAATCTCAAAAAACACAGTAAAATTGGATATAAAATGGTGCCAAAACTATTAGCTCTTATGAATCAAAGGAAAATAAAAGGCTATTTTTTGAAAATATATGCTCTTGGCTCCTCACAGCTAATTATGGAAAAAATTTCACAAGTTCATATTATTCGGAGAGTTTATAAGTTAGTTTACGTGTATAAAATGACAAAATAATTAATGTTGCTTCATAGATTGCCTGAGAAATTAGTCTTAACACATGCCAGAAGAATTAAAAACCGGTATTATCATGTTAGAATGCACGTTACTTGAAAATAGTTTATTTCAAATATTCTTCCTATAAATCCTTTAAGTACAGTAATGCTATAAACTGTCAATACATAAAGTGTTTGCTATGGGTAATAAAGTTAAAGTTTTATTATATGATAAACTACAATTTGTTTAAATGTAGAAATATTTTGAGAAAACATACCTGATTCTTGCATTAATATCGCAGAGTTGAATAACGCTAGTTTATGCTTTGGATTTAGTTCTAGAGCACGATTAAAGTTTTTTAGAGCTTCATTTGGTTCTTTAAGTTCAATAAATACAATTGCCAAGTTGTACCAAAGATCTGCGTTATTTCTGTCCAGCTCTAGTGCTTTAAGGTATGCTTCCTTTGCTTTAAGAGGTTTATTCATTTTTAAAAGCAATTCCCCTCTGTGGAAAAATCAAACACAAGCTTTACTTACAACATTACCATCTCGGTTTGTAGATAGAGATTTTGCCAAATTTTAAAGCTTTCCACATATAGTTTTTTTCTTTTAACTCAACTCTTAAAAACGCTCTTTCAAAAACAACTCTTTGAAACTATCCTCAAATCTGAACTCCTTAGTTTAGTATATTTTTCTTGATTTATTTTCAAATAATATTTAAGAAGAAAAAAGTCATGCCTGACTTTAGAGGGCAACATATCAGGAGGACAGAGAAAACATATTCTTTGAATTTATTTTAAAAAGAGACAGACTAGACTGCATCAGAAAAAGGACAACTAGCCAGAGTGAGAAATTAATTTGTTAGGTGACAAAATAACAGCACTAGAAGAAAAAAACGACATACAGTAGTAGTAAGAGAAATTCCAGTATTTGAATCTATAATAGAAGTCTCACTGTGCAAAAAATCGAAGTATTTAAAATCTGTAATCCCTTCTTATATTAATTTAGTCCTCGTCAATGTCTTCATATAATATGACCATTCTTAAAAAAAAAAAAAAAGTTGGGCATTATGGCTCTTACCTGTAATCCCAACATCCTGGTAGGGTGAGGTGGGCAGATCACTTGAGGTCAGGAGTTTGAGACCAGCCTGGCCAACATGGTGAAACCCTGTCTCTACTAAAAATACAGAAATTAGCCAGGCATGGTGGCATGTGCCTGTAGTCCCAGCTACTAGGGAGACTGAGGCACAAGAATCACTTGAACCCATGAGGCAGAGGTTGCAGTGAGCCAAGATCACATGACTGCACTCCGGTCTGGGTGACAAAGCGAGATTCTGTCACAAACAAACAAACAAACAGAAAAAGGACTAAAAAAAAGAAAAGCTGACTGTGTGGAGTGGGAGGGACTAGTCTGACCTGTAGATAGCTTTGAGGAACACACTTAGAATTGAGGACCAGTTAGGAAACCACTGTATAAACCTTTCTAGTGCATTTTCTGTTAGAAAACTGTAAAAAGTAATTGTGCTTAAAGAATTATTTTTACATATGTACAAATCATATTTAAGTAGTGACATGAGAGTTGTTCTTATTATAATACTATTCTTTCCTACAGTATTAGCACAGGAATAAAAGCAAAGGAACAATTAATATTCTCATTAAAACAACTTCTAGAATAAATGTTTGTTCAAAATATTATTGTTTTAAATGCAGAGATTGTTAAATAGTTCTTTATGGATTAATACATGACAGGTCTTATTTACAGATACAAGCCTGCTAAACTCAATGGGTTTCAAGAAGTACTGGACAAGGCAGATCAAAAACAATCCCAACTTAAAAACAGATTATCTCAAAAACTTAAATTCAGAATGTGCTTTCCCCACAGAAACAATGTTACAAATTATTATTAGGTTTCTGCACCAGGCTACAAAACAAAGTTTAAAAACACATTTTTCCTCAAAAATAATACAAATGATAACACATACATAAGAAAATAAATGAAGTTTTAACATGTGATGCCAGACATCTTTTTTTTTTTTTGCTGAGAACCAAAATGTTTTCTTTGTGTCAAAGGCATCAATAACCAACCAACTCCAAAAACTTAAGAAAGTTCCTGAGAATTTGATATTAGAAGTAACTATTAAAAAATATAAGTTTCAGGTGCTAATTTAATTAGGAAAAGAACAATTTTGGTGATGGGAAGAAAATGAAACTGAGACAGAGCTACTTCTACCCTTTTCTTAATATAAAAACTAATGTGGCTATTATAGGGATTCCCTTTGTTAATTTCAAATCAATAAAATCTGTCAGCCTAAAAAGCTATGCCCTTCTATGCACTTGATTGCTAAGATTATTAAAAATATATTTTTTTTCAAAAGAAAGCCAATTCATTCAAAATGTACATGCAGATGCAGTTTCAATATTCTATAATGAATAGATGTAAGGTGAACTGCGATACCTGCTAATGTAAGCCTGCTTGAAGTCGGGCCTCATGCTTATTGCTTGACGGTACAGCTGATCTGCTTCTTCCAGTCGGGACTCATTTGCTCGGATCAGGTTAGCCAGATTGATATAAACATTTAGGTGGTTAGGGGCAATTCTGGCTGCATATTTTTTACCAGGAATAATCTGTTCAAAAGAAAAGGCATTTTCATGATTCGATATTTCAGTATCAAAAATCAAAAGCACATACTCCTATTGGCTAATTTAAAATAACGCAGAACATAGTATAAAAAATACACTGTACTAAGATCTGGGTTCTATTCCTGTTGTGATCAAACTTAAAAGATTTTGACTTCTAAAAGTTCTGATTTGTTTGACTTCACAAAAAGATGCAAATAAAAAGCTTACAATAATCCACTGAGCTGGCATAAATAAAATATATCCTTCAATGCCATAAAGAGTTATTTTATTACATTATTGAGGATACTGTAAATAAAATCTTATCTTTAGATTTTTATTTGCTTTTACATTTTTATGATTTATTTTTAATAATGTAGTAAAATTAGTAGCATAGTCTTACGTCCTCAAAAAAAAAAAAATAGCTTAAGCTCGGCTGCACTTTTCTCAACTGTAATAATATTTATAGTAACATTAATAATGATTGGGAAGTTAAATTTTTAAAAAACAAGGTTGAACTGTATAATATTTTAAGGATTACTTTAATCTTTACCTATTAGTTTAACTGTATTTATTAATGGTTTTTATCATATCTAATTTATTGTGTTCACTGGAAGTTTGGAACCATATATATTGTAAAGTATAATAGCCTTTACTTAACCTTAATAATCAACTAGAGTGTTTAATTTCCAAACTTCACCAGAAAAGTAAGTCCTTAGTATTCTGGAATAAAATTAACCACTGTATTGTCACAACTGAGAAATATTTTGCTGACAACATGTAAATTGACATAGGGTCAGATCTTTCAACTTTGATACTATAATGTTATATTTAATGAATCTTATGTCATTATAATAACTGATGGACACAATATAGCAAGAGATGTATCTACGAATTTTATCACTTTTATTCATTTCATAGGAATAATGTTGAATTTTATGATTAATATACATAAAATCATATTTATGTAGTCATATAACTTGCTAATAACTCATAATCAAGAATATCTAAAATTCACACTATGAATTCAGTTTTCACAATGGACGATAAAAACAATTTTTAAAACTTAAGTGAGCTAGAAAAATGTAATTCTTTAAAAAATTTATAGGAATAGATGATTCATTAGACACTTTACTTTTATATCAACTAAGTGAAGAATTTTCCTTCTAGATAATTTATTCAATATGGACATCTAGTAGATATGACGTAATAAATTATGGCAACTTACTTGAGGCATCAGTGATTTAGCCATCATGTAAGATTCTTCAGCTTCTTTGGTTCTATTTAAATTTTTATAAGTTCTTCCTACATTCATATGGGCACCAATGTCATCTAAAATTTTAAAACAATCATTTGTTGGCAAGTATACAAATGATGTATTAAATATAAATGAAATGATTCAATATATTGATTATAAACAAGTATTCAATATAACTAATGAAATATAACTTGCTATAACTTATGACCAACAGTGTTCACAAAATTACTTAATGAACCATAAAGACAGAAAATACATTCATAGTATGAAAAAACTATTTGAAGGGTTGAGACATAAGAGAGATAAAGGTAATGAAGAAATTTTTATCACCTTCCTTCATTGTATTTTAATATACTAAAGCTTGTTTTCCATTTACTTAATCTCATAGCTTAGAAATTCACTCAAGAGGTACAGCTCAACTCTATAAGTGAAAAGAATCATCAGGATATTCAGAATTATTTCAAGTGTTATAACAAATACACTTCATGGTGGAACAGGGGCAAAGAGAATGAAAAAACTTTGCCATTAAATTTTTAAAAATTTTTGAGATTGTGGTTAGAATGAGAGTATAATGGAACATAATGATAATAGTATTACTTAAGATGCAGTGGCCCACCTCTCTTAAACAATAATAAACTCCTTAAAATTTATTTTAGATTTTTTTTTAAAAGGTTGTTAATTTTAGAATGTCAGGAACTTATGTCTCATTTTCTGATGTGGAAAATAAAAATCCCAGCAAATGTCTTCAGGGATAGGGAAAAAAAATGTAGTTGAAATAGGAAAAGTATAAGGATTCATTGTACAGTAGTTTTTTAAACCGATAGACTTCCCAGTAAATATTTCAATGGTTTGAATGATAGAAGGAAAGTAGAAGATCTTAAATCAGTCAATTTTTTACTCAACATGAATTTCTGACATGAAAAGGTTCATTTTGATTACTACTTGCCTGTGACACCAATTATTTTGCAATTGTGGAATAATTCTCTGCCTGCAACTCCTAGAACTCATACGGGCCAAGCATATATATCTTGGGCATTCTCCGAGTAACAGTCCTAAGATCTTATTACGTTATGTTTTAGTCTGGCAATTGTGTGCACTGCACAGAAACTGGCAGATGCAGACTAGGTGTGATTAGAGATAAGTTTAGGAGTAAGGAAGTTTTATTTTTTTTCTTTTAAGATGTATTGTTGAGTCTCATGTAGCCTGGAGGAGTCAAGTAAAAAAGATGTTTAAGCTAGCCATTCTTAATCCTGGCTACAAATCAGAATGCTTGTGTAGTTTTAAAAATTCAGATACTTTAGCCCCACCTAGCTCCATCAAAATATAATATTCAGAAATAAAATCCGCAAAAAATATGTTTATAAAAAGTGTCAAAGGAAATTCGGATGTAGAATCAGGGCTGCAAATCATTGTATTACCAATTGAATATAATATATACAGTATAGTGATTAGTTCAGGGTAATTACTTACATTACATGCCTCAAAACATCAATATACATCCCATGAATACGTACTACTATTGTCAATTTAAAAATATGGAGTCTTTGCTTTTATGTAACTTTTTTTTTTTTACACCAGACAAATCCATACAACATGTTTATAGAGCTCAGAATGCTGTTTAGGAAAAGCTAAGGTACATAGAACCTGAAAAAAGTAATTATACACTAAGCATTTAAGAAGAAACTGAAAATCTGGAAAAATAAAAGTGTAATTATGTCAGCTGAATATTTAAAATGTTACTGAAATTAGCCCCAATCAATGTTAGAAAAGATTAAAAATGAGGCAAATTAACATCCACTGAAATAATGTTCTTAGAATTATGGCAAGGAGATATTGTCGTTAGTGTAGACTTCAGATGCTAGTGTACAGCAGTCTTATGTTTCAAAGAATAGAGATGTAATATACAGATATACTTTAGCATCAGAAAGGTCACTTGATACAGCTAATAAAAAGACATAATTTTATGAGTACCTATCCAAAACAACAACAGCATTAGTTAACAATCTGGATTTTAATTCAATTGTAAATGAGGAACTCACAAATCTCAAATGTATCCTGCTAGGTTTCTATAATCAATTAAATTTTCCAGAATCCTAGTTGAGTATATTTCACTTCTTATCTCTCCTCACATTCTCTATTAACATACTTTCACTAAGAAAACAAAAGAGTAGGAGGGAACTTATCATCTCACTGCTAGATGTTATCAACTTATCTTCACGAATGTTTCCAAGTGTTTTTAATAGTAACACACATCTACCTGTAAAGGCATATACATAGTCTGCTTTCCCTCATACCCTTTTCTCTTATCTAGGGCTGACCAATCTACTTATATACTAGATCACATTCCCTTTTCCCACTTAAGAACTTTTTTCGGCCGGGCGCGGTGGCTCAAGCCTGTAATCCCAGCACTTTGGGAGGCTGAGGCAGGTGGATCACGAGGTCGAGAGATCGAGACCATCCTGGTCAACATGGTGAAACCCCGTCTCTACTAAAAATACAAAAAATTAGCTGGGCATGGTGGCGTGTGCCTGTAATCCCAGCTACTCAGGAGGCTGAGGCAGGAGAATTGCTTGAACCCAGGAGGCGGAGGTTGTGGTGAGCCGAGATCGCGCCATTGCACTCCAGCCTGGGTAACAAGAGTGAAACTCCGCCTCAAAAAAAAAAAAAAAAACACACAAAGAACTTTTTTCACGCCATTATCTGTGCTGCCTATCTTGCAACACATTCTCCTGTTGCAAAAATGTCTGTTCTTCTGTACAGTAAGCCTCTTTTATAAAATTTTAAGATGTATTGTTGAGTCTCATGTAGCCAGTACTAGCTGCCCAAAGTGAAGTATTCTCACATTGACAGCTTAGGCATCTATGTTGCTTTTCATTATTTCCTGTCCATAAAATTATGACTTTATTTAAAAAGATAAATTTATAAATATCTGGAATCTCCTAGGAACTCTCTATCTTTCATAAATATAGATGTAAAAATTAATAGTATTTTAACAAATTAAAAAATATATAATAAAGATAAGTCATGATCAAATGGTATTTTACCAAAGGCAAGGTTGTTCAACACTATAATCAATGTAATCTACTATATTAACAGACAGAAAAAACACAACCTTATTTATCTTCATCTCAAATGGTGCAAAAAAGCCTTTGACAGAATCCAACATCCATTTGTGCTAAAAATTCATCCATTTGTGCAAATGAAGAATTGCTCTCCTATACTGCTGGTGGGAAACACATTCTTTGGGAAAACAATCTAGCAGACTTTTAAAAAAAGTTAAACATACACAAATCATTTGACCATGCCATTCCTCTCTCAGGTTTTAACTAAGAGAAATGAAAACATACAGATTGGTACATGAATGTTTGTAACAGCCATTATGTGTAACAGCCCCAAAGTGCAAACAATCCAAACATCCACCAGTAGGTAAATGGATAAACTGTTGTATATCCATGTGAAGGAATACTACTCAGCCATACAAAGGTATGGGTTTTTGATTCATACAACAACATGAATGAGTATCAAAAAAAAGTGTAGCATGAAAAAGTCAGGAAAAAAAAGAGTGTCCATAGAGTATAATTCCATTCATACACAATTTTAGAAAAAGCACATTATCTGCAGATAGAAAGCTTTTCCTCAGAGAAGGATGGGGTGGTAAGAGGTAAGTCGGAGGCATTAGAAAAGGGTACAAGGAATTTGAGGGGTTGATGGATATTTTCAGTATCTTAATTGTGGTTACAGTCTCACAGGTATATACATATGTCCAGAATTATCAAATTATATAGTTTAAATATGTATCTCATATGTCAAATGTATTTCAAGATTGCTATTAAAAAAGTTACAACCTAGTAATTTCTTTGTATTACTGCAAAATCCTTCTAAATGATCTTCCTGCTTTTCTTTACTATTTTCTGCATTGCCAGTGATACTCAGAATTAACTACACCAGAGTATATGTGCAAAGGTTGCTCTCTGTTATTCTCATCTCTTAATACTAATCTCTCATACAGCCTTTCTCTGACCAATTTCTAATGTCCATGCCCTTTTTATAGCTTTTATCATTTTCATATAAATAAATATACGTGTATGCATATGTGTGCATATGTATATATATAGTGTGTGTGTGTATATATTTACATGTGTGTATTTGTTTACTTATTGTTTATGCCTTTATTTAGAATGGAAACTCCATGAAGGCAGGAAATTTGTTTTATTTACTGCTGGATTCCTCAGCACTTAAAACAGTGTCTGACTCATGGTAAATTCTCAAGTAAATGCTTGATGAACAAATATACCTACAGAGCCATTTGCTATTCATTCTCTTTCAGGCTTCTTCCCTGAACTGTATATCTCTTCTTTGCCACCTCCCTTCCTAGTTCCAGTGAAAATAATGCCATTAATATTTACCAGCTCGTATTTATTGCATATACATTATTGCCTAGAAACTGGCCTAAGTCTTATATAACCAGTATTTAACATAATCCATACAAAAGAATGGAGATCTTATTACTCCAAACTTACAGATAGAAAACTTAAAGAGTGATTGAATTCGAGAAAAGTTGTGATGCCTGAGTCCATTAACTAACCATCACACTAGCTGTCCTTTTTTAGCCTTATCCTGGTCACTGTCTTGCCACCTCTAACTCTAAAAATACAGTAAAATAACATGCTGTTTCATTTGTCAAACCCATCTAGGAAGAATACAGCTTAAAAAAACATGGAATAAACAAGAAACCTCTAGATGCCACATTCAATGTTTCTAAGTTTAAATGCTTCATAAAAAATCGTAATAAACCAGTTTACTAGTTTTCCTACTCCATGGTTTATTATTAATAGAAACAGCAATTATCAAAGTGTGATAGTGAAGTCAAACTGAAGGAGAAAGGTTCAGCAAATATCTCAAAAACAGCAATTAGTGACAATTGACCATGAGGGGGGAAATTATTTAAAAACTGAGTGTCCATACCTGCAACATCCTGTGATAGGGACACTATTCACTAGACAAAACTGAATGTGTACAGACACACACTCACACACTTAATATAGTATTTACAACAATGCTGTGAGACAGAAATTACTATCCCATTTTAGAAACAAAAAAGAAGAGTCTGAAGGGGCCTAAGTAACATCTCAGTTTCAAAGCCCTTGTGTGCCTGACAATCAAAGATGACTGCGTCTATAAAAACTCCTAAAATCTAATTAATCCATGCACTATACATCTCAAGACTTCAGAAAGTAATGAATTAAAATATTTAGTGACTGCTGACTGCATATAGGACCCTACTTGATGATGCAGGGGTACAAAAATGATTCAGATGTTCACGCTACCCCCGGGAAGCCCGACAGTTTAAAGAAATATTTTAAATAAATAAAATATAGCACTAAATAGAAAATTACAAATACAGGAAAGATACAGAGGAAGTTAAAGGGTTTTATAAATGAAAACTATTTGCTTATAGCTAGAAAGATATGAAGAGTTTTTACAAGAGAAGTCACTGAAAATGGGAGAAAAGGGAGAAGGGAGAAATTCTGGTCTCAAGGAAGAATATAAACAAAGGTAAAGAAGTAAGGAAGTACAGGATATTAATTCCATATTCCAAGAAAAACTAAACTACATGAACAGCTAAGGGAGATAAAACTGAAAGGTTAGATCATCAACTATATTTCCAAAACGCTTTATTCGCCTTTCTCTAATCGAAACTTAGCTTTGTTTTGGAGACACGGTTACCTTTAGCTTTGTGTTCTTTTCTATTCTTTGTGACGCTGTGCCTGGGAGAAGAACGAATATCTTCTTCCATTATCCATGTAGCCACTTTTGGACAATTCTCTTTTTTACAATCACTCATCTCTAACTGTAATTTAACTCTATTACCCACTATTCCTATCCGTGTTGTAGTCACCAATTCCTGGATCATAGATCCTGGCTCCCTGTTGCTTTCTCTAAATACATTTGTCAAAATTCTTAATGATTTAGTGATTTCATAATCCATATAGATATGAATATTTGAATACCGTGGTCTTGATGTCCTTTGTTCTAAGTGATTTACACCTTCTTTCTACCTTAGCTAATTAGTGCAATGGTCATAACTGTAGAAAAAAGTAACAGTGCCTGACACTCTGCACCCCTTCAAGGATATCTGGTAATGTGTGGGGGTTTCTTTTTGGTTGTCATTCTTTTTTTTTGAGACGGAGTTTCGCTCTTGTTACCCAGGCTGGAGTGCAATGGCGCGATCTCGGCTCACCGCAACCTCCGCCTCCTGGGTTCAAGCAATTCTCCTGCCTCAGCTTTTGTATTTTTAGTAGAGACGGGGTTTCACCATGATGACCAGGATGGTCTCGATCTCTTGACCTCGTGATCCACCCGCCTCGGCCTCCCAAAGTGCTGGGATTACAGGCTTGAGCCACCGCGCCCGGCCTTGGTTGTCATTCTGAATGGAAAATAATGATAGCACTTGGTGGATGGGGGTCATGTCTGGCACATACCGTGTAATACAATTCTGCATTCAAAATGCAACTAGCACTCCTACTGAAAAATACTGTGCTCTAGCTACCTCCTACTCTGATACCAATAATACCAATAATTCCTCAGATTCACTGACCTTGTCACCTTTCCTCCAGCCCGCATCCTCTCTCATATCCTTTCTTTTTTTTTTTTTTTTTTAAAGACGGAGTTTCGCTCTTGCTACCCAGGCTGGAGTGCAATGGTGCGGTCTCGGCTCACCGCAACCTCCGCCTCCTGGGCTCAGGCAATTCTCCTGCCTCAGCCTCCTGAGTAGCTGGGACTACAGGCACGCGCCACCACGCCCAGCTAATTTTTTGTATTTTTAGTAGAGACGGGGTTTCACCATGTTGACCAGGATGGTCTCGATCTCTTGACCTCGTGATCCACCTGCCTCAGCCTCCCAAAGTGCTGGGATTACAGGCTTGAGTCACCGCACCCGGCCTTCTCATAGCCTTTCTTAACCAGCTTAGATTTGGTGTCTCATCATTTATTCACTCCTTAAACCCTTTCCTAATTGACAAAACTTTAATCCTATTTAAGAGAATTTTCAATGCCTATGGCATCACTATTATAGCTAAAAAGTTGCAGGAGAAGTAAAACATGTAACCACACCAAATTTATTTATTTTTTTTGAGAGAGTGTAGCTCTGTTGCCCAGGCTGGAGTGCAGTGGTGCGATCTTGGCTCACTGCAACCTCTGCCTCCCAGGTTCCAGAGATCCTTGTGCCTCAGCCACCAGAGGAGCTGGGATTATAGGTACCCACCACAATGCCTGGCTAATTTTTGTATTTTTTAGTAAAGACAGGGTTTCACCCTGTTGCCCAGGCTGGTCTTGAACTCCTGACATGAAGTGATCAGCCCACCTGGACTCCCAACATGCTGGGATTACAGGCATGAGTCACTGTGTCTGGTCCCAACTGGTTTAAAAAACAAAGCCAAAACTCTCTTATCTTACCATCCTTTCTTGACCCCATACGCAGCACTGCCACCACTTCTTATCAATACCCTTCAAAAGAATTTTCTACACTAATTGTCTCCAATTATTCTTTCCCCATTCTCTTAAACTCACTACTATTAGCCTTTTGTACCCATCACTCCACCAAAATTGTTTGACCATATCCAGCCTACTCAACAACTCTATGTTTAAAAAAAAATCCATAAGTGATTTTGTTTGTTTTGAGACAGACTCTTACTCTGTCACCAGGCTGGAGTGCAGTGGTATAATCATGTGATCATAGCTCAGTGCAGCCTTGAACTCATGGGCTCAAGGAATCCTCCCACATGAGCCTCCCAAGTAGCTGAGATAACATGCCCACACAACCCTGCTTGGCTAATTTTTTAATTTTTATTTTGTAGAGACAGAAACTTGCTTTGTTGCCCAGATAGTCATGAACTCCTGGGCTCAAGTGACCTTGCTCTGTCAGCCTCTGAAAGTGCTATCAATAGAGGTGTGAGCCACCAGCCTCGTATCAAAGTCTGATATTCAGTGGCTATTATATGTAATCCAATTCAAAATAAGCAAGCACAACACTCTAGTAATCAAGTCACTTAGAATAAAGCTAGAAGATAAACTCTATCTTATTTCCCCCAAAGATAATCAAAACTTTTTTAAAATAAATAAAATTTATGAATTTAATTAATAATACTTACCTGGCTGAACATGGGTAGCCTGTACGAAGTATTTCAAAGCTCTCTCAAAGTTCTTTTCATTTTCCAGAGCATGACCCACATTATTCCATAGTTTGGCATTATTTTTATTTACCTTAAATATAAACGCAGATAGAAGTAAGTTACACTTAAAAAAAATATGACTCCAGTTCATACAGATATTTCTTTGGTATACTATTAAAAGAATGTTCAATGGAGATGTCTCTGGGGATGATACAGGAGTCAAATAAAGACTGCTTCCCCAAATTTACTCTCCCTGCACCTCAACACCAACATACTAAAACCACAACAGTCTTATTTCATTTATGTTACCTATTAAAATTTTATAGAAAATTTTATTTGATCGAAGCATAGCGGTGTTTGAAAACTCCTGCTCTACTATTTGTATTTTTAGGAGCAAAAGTACTGGAACATGAGAATATGTTTAAATGTTGCACTGATGACTTATTTTTAGACTTGACATATTTAAATTTATTTATGTAATCCATTATGGTAATAGAAGCCCTGAGATTAAAGCTCTGAGTCAATATGTGCTTTCAGAGTTCACAGATTACTGTGGTGTTCTTGCAGATAAATGATACCTAGACAAGTAGCTAACTGCAGTGGTTGTGGCTATAGGTCTGTTCTGGGAGTGGGTACAAGCAAAATTCTGGAAAATTATGGAGCTACACTGGTATTCTAGGAGTATGGAATAATAAGCATGGTAATGAAGTCTTACTTGTTGGCAGACTTCTGAGCTGGGAGAGAGTAGAGCTACTGAACTGTGTAGGAAGAGAGTCATCTGATCTTAAGTAGATGTGGAATCAAGAAGTCACACAGACTACTAGAATGAGGCGGCAATTCAATAAAGCTAAGCAATGAAGAGTTAAGAAATAGCCAAAAGGAAGTAAAAATTCAGAGATGTGAAGAGGGGTACTGGTAAGGGAGAGCTTGAAAAAATCTTGGCTGATACCATTAAAGAAAACATATTTTTGTTTTTTAAAAGACATTTTTCTAATTTATATTGTCCATTCTATAGAAATCCTGTATCCTTCATTTTTGCCAATTCTTATCTTTCTGATAGTATTGTAACCACTGGTTATCTTCCACATTATTGGGTGCCCCCCCCCCGCTTCTTTTTTCTGTGCATTTTATTTTACTGAATTGATGGCATCAATTATAAAACTCAAGTCTATTAAAGAAAAAATGCCACTAATTTAAGATGCTTTTCACTGCAAGACTTATTTGGTTTCAGAGATCTTAAAAAGAAAAAAAAATGTATACCTTTGGAAGCAATGAAATATAGTATTCTGATTTAAACATTGTGCCATTTGAACTTCTAATAGCTATATAGAATTTAGGGAATTATATATGCTTTGGGCGTATAGCTAAGTATTATTCAGAGCACTTGGTTATGGTATATATTAAAGAACAAAGAACTTTCATTAATCTTTTGGGGAAGTACTTAATATTGACTGTTAAGCGTTTATTTGAAAAAAAAGTTAAAACAGCTTAGAAATCGTTCCAAGAAATCACTGATTACGTACTTTTTTGTCATTCTGAACAACACTTTACCTTCAAGGCTGACATAAACAATGTATATTCAGACTCCCAATCCCAATTTCTGTGGAATGTTTTTAAGGAATGAGTGAGTATCACCATAGACAGACAAATCCAGGATAGCTTTTTACATACACTGTTTAAGAGAAAAAAAAGCAAAACAAAACAAAAACTGTCTTCATCACCAAAAGCATTTTACCTTTTAGAACACAGGTAACAAGTTTCTTAAATGCTCCTAAAATATATGTAAATTTATTCTAATTCATTCTAATATCACTCTACTTTAGAAAAAACAACATTAAAAAAAATAAATATTGTGAATAAGATCTTCCCATCAATTGCATTATCTACTCAAATATTGGCCTGTATTTCAAAAGCTGTTTAGATTAAATGATAAAAGATGGACAAAACCAGTTTTTAATTGTGACTTTTTAAAATTACAGTCCTTTGTGCCATTTTCTACAACTGAGTATTCTTAACTGAGTTTAGTAAGGGGTCAACTTTATCACTGGTCACATGTGAAAATGTTTTACTGACAATTTATACCAAGGCCATGATATTCTTGGTTTATTTCTCTACTGTAAAGCTAGAATTGTCTATTAAAAGGCATAGAAAAAGTAACTCTTCATTAAACAGAGGCAAATTACTTACAACTTTAGGTTAAATATTTGAGGACTCAATTCTTCACCTATAATTTTTATCATCTCATTTGGCATTCATAGTCTCTGAGTCTGTGTTTTTGTTTCTACAACATGGTTTAATTTCTTTCATTGGCAGATCCAATTAACCAGGACACACGAGTACAGATCAGAAAGAACATGGTCACTGGAAGCAGTCAGATGTAAATCTGAAATAAGACTGTTATATGCTAGCTGTGTGATCTTGGGTAACCTGTATGGCTTCAATGTTTGAATCTGCAAAGTAGACTTAAGGAGTGTCAAGATTAAATGAGAAAACAAATTTAAAGTGTCTATCATGGCCCTTGGTACACAGCAGGCATTCAAAAATGCGTAGTGATTATAACTGGGTATATGGGTAGAAGCTAAGAGAAGAGGTTTGGTAGATGGCAGTAAAAAATTGCAGACATGGATGAGATTATCTGTGGAAAATATGCGGTGTGAAAAAAGGGGCTGTAAGACTTTAAAAAAGGTAAATATTCAAAGAGCTGGTACAGCCAGAAGAATCAGAGCAGAAATGAACAGATGTGGAATAAAATCAGGATACAGTGTCTTTTTATAGACACTAGGGAAATAAACTTTAAATTAAAAGTGTTGACTTAGTTTAACCACTAGGAGGCACTTTGTTTTATGTTTAATAGAGTGAAGTAGAGAGAAGTCAAGAATTCTGTGGGGTGAGGGGTGACTGGAAAATGAGAAAGTGAGAGAAGTGACCATTTCTTTTCAAGTTGCAAATTCAAATTTAATATTATTACATTAGAATTACTTGACCTTTAACAATGTTTGATTTGCTAATTTTAGTGCCACAGCATAAGTATACAATGAGATAATACCTGTAACAATTACAGTTACTAAGCATATATACAGTGTGACTATGCTGTCCCTTAACTGTTAGTTTGAGGCAACTAGGATACAAAGATTATAATGAAGATAGTATGGCAGCAATAAATTATGGACTGCTTACTATATGCATTTTATGTATATTAACTCAATATGACTCACTTAAGTAGGATGACTATTATCTTAGTTCACTGAATATGGAAGTGGCAATGGTCATTTGTGACTTTATTCTCAATAACATCCTTGTTTTCATTTGAGTCTGACTCAAAGTTTGTTCTGTCTCAGGCTGTAAAATAAAATTACATAAATATGGAAAAGAATACAGAGTTAAGTAGGTGCTGTGGAGCTTTCCTAACTTGACTTAAAAGACAAATGAGGAGACTATTGAGATGAAAAATCAAAAGATACAAAAGCATGACTTAGAAAAGTGCACTAGACACAGATTTAAATTTTTAAATGTGTGATGCTTAATTCCATAGTTGGTAAGCATTACATGAACTGATATTTAAATTCACCTTTTTGTTGATATTTTCTGCCATCCATGGGCTACCAAAATACAGAACCCCATGCTGGGAACATACAATACTCGCTCAGCAACAACAAATCCAACTGGAAAAAAAAGGTTCGATGCAGGAATAAATGGTAATGCCATTAAACAAAGTGCCTAGAAAGAAGAAGATTTAATAATTTTTATTAAATTAGGAAATATATGGGCATCTGATACTCAAATCCAAATATTTTATCATTTAATTTTGATAGCATACTGGTAAACTATTTTTAATACTATGAGGAATATTAACTTAAACATAAGCCAATTTAGGGATGGCATTAACAAACATCAGGATATATGTAAGTAAGGTGAAATGGAAATCGTGAATTCTAGAAGTTATAATTAGAGGATATTTGTGAACTTTCTTTGAAAACAAGATTTCTAGGTGTGGGTAGGAGTGATTACTCCTTGAAATTAAAATCTGAACCATTACAGCATTTTAAATTTGAGAAGCATAACAAGCTATATCTCACTGGTTTTCTGTAAAGAATATGCTCGCATGGTAAAATATAAAAATGTTAATAAATGAAAATACATCTTTAAGCAAAATTAAACAATAAAGGTTCATCCAGTTAAATAAAAAAGTGAAAGTATTTTTTGAAATTATATCTAAACAACTCAACTCAAAAGAAAAAGAAATGGGAAAAGGAACTAAATAGATATTCCTCAGAAGAAGACATATCAATGGCCAACAGGTATATGAAGAAAAGTTCATCACTGTCATTAAGGAAGTGAAAATTAAAACCACAATGAGCTATCACCTCACACCAGTAAGAATGGCTATTATCGAAAAGACGAAAGATAATGTTGGCAAGAACATAAAGGAAATCCTTGCACACTGCTGATGGGATGTAAATTAGCATTGCCATTAGGTAAGCAGTCTGGAGGCTCATAAAAAAATTAAAAATAGAACAGTGATCCAGCATTCTCACTACTGGGTATAGATCCAAAGGAAATGAAATCAGTATGCTGAAGAGAGATCTGAACTCCCTTGTTCATTGTAGCATTATTCAATTTACAATAGCCAAGATATGGGAACAACCTAAATAGCCATCAATAGATTACTGGATGAAAAAAAATGTGGTACACATATGCCCTGGAATATTATTTCGCCTTAAAATGGAAGGAAATCCTGTCATTTCTGACATGGATAAACCTTGAGGACAACATGTTAAGAGAAGTAAGTCAGCTACAGAAAGACAAATAACACATGATCTCACTTAAAAGTAGAATTTATAAAAGTTGACTCATAAAAGTAAAGGAAATGGTGGTCACCAGGGTTGGGGGTAGAAGGCTGGGGAGAAGTTGGTCAAAAGATATAAAATTTCAGTTAGGGGGAATACAAATAAAAAATAAACAAAAATTTTACACATCTAACTTATGTGTGTGGTAAAAATAAGATGACAATTAAATATGCAAATAGGTTTTTGCATATTTTTTGTTTGTTTTTTTTCAACAAACAAAGCCACAGAGGCTGATTTAAAAAAAAGCCAAACATGTCAGTGTTCACAACTTTACTACTTTAAGAAATCACATTATATTGGAAACTGAAGGAATGAAATAAGGTAGTGTTCAGACAAGACAGCAGACTACTCACTCTGTACCTTAACATTACTTCATATAACATCCTGAAAGGTTACATGTATTTAACCAGAAGCTTGGTGTATGCATAAAAATAAAACTGCCTCCGTTTAAATCAAGTCTTTCATTCTAAAATTATTGATATAACACTGAATGCCAAAATGAAACTACATAAAAATGTTCATATTTCTTACCGTTTTGAAAATGGGATGACATGTGGCTTCCACATTATAAACCCACAAAATACCAGCACAAAAATAGCTTGTGGAGGAAATAAGTCTGGTCGTCATTAGAATATCTGTTTCTATGGACATCTGCATCCAAATTTTGTTACCCTGATTTGTTTTATAGTACTTAATTTAATAAACAAGTTAAACCTTTAGCTTCACAAGTTTGAAACTCTTCTAGGGCTGAGGGGGAAAAATGTCTTTTTTTCTATTTGACTTAATTTGTGAAATACACACACACACAGAAAAGAATACTCTCCACAAATGTTCACGTTAATGAATTGCAATGAGGCAACACTGAATCTGAGAAAAATCACTACCATCAAACTGCTCACCATCATACCAATTTAAAGGTCAGAAATTTCAGTGTTTTTAAATCAAAAAAGGTAAGAACAACTAAGAATGCATAGAATTTGCTTTCCATTTCCCAGAGATGCTTGACAAAAATAATCAGCAAAAAATATGAAACAGGTAAAGTTCCTGAATATGTATGTAGTTCATTAAAAAATTATACCTATTAATTCATGGCCACCTTAAAGCAATTTCATTTGAAGGAATTAAGTGTTAAATTCACTCAAAAGTGTAATGCAGACTGACGCATTAAAAAAAAAAAAAAAAAGAAAATCTCTCAGGAAAAACCTATAGGTTCTGGGATAAGAAATGTCTCTAATGATTAACTTATTCAGAAGTCCTAATATGCTCTCTAATAATGTATGCCAACCTAGTTAACCATCACTACCTTGTAATTTACTTCTTCCAGTAATATAAACTGTCCTTCAGCAGAAGGATATTAGTAGAAAGAGCAAAGAGTTTGAGATAAATCTCCTTTACTTCTCATTTCCTACAAAACATAAGGCAAACCACTCAGTCACCCACCTTGAGACTTTTTATTGTTTTTTAAGAGACAAGGTGTCAGTCATCCAGGCTAGAGTGCAGTGGCATGATCAGAATCTACTGCATCCTTGAACTCTTGGGCTCAAGCAATTCTTCTGCCTCAGCCTCCCAAGCACCTAGGACTACAGGTACAACTGTCATACCTGGCTAATTAAAAAATTTTTTTAGAGATGGGATCTCACTGTCTTACCCAGGCTTGTCCCAAACTCCTGGCCTCCAGTGATCTTCCTATCTCTGCTACAGGCATGAGCCACTGACCCCGGTTAGTTCTTTACAAATAAAACGGGGATTACTATCTACTTACATTATGCTGTTGACATATATATGACATCTTATCTAATAAGTGCTTAACATGTTATTCTGGTCCTTGGTAGGTACTCCTTTGTTCTACTTATTCCTTCCAGAGATCTTCAGAAAATAATCACCATAAAAAAATAGCACATTTATTAGGACTATACCCAAAGCTGAGTTATGTATGGCTTAAGGCCACAGCTGTCCCATTTTGATATACATTTTAAATTCAGCTTACATTACATACACCATTATTTTATTTGATGAAACCTTAATTCCCCTACCTCTCCCTTTTTTAACCTTTCTTTTACCAAAACTCAAGCTTGGATGTATTCTACCATTTATTTATTGTGTCTGTGTTTACCAGAGTAGCAATGCGCTGCTAGAGAAAGTCCCAAAGCTGAATAGATTAATATCATCATAAAAGCAATCACCCAGTTCAAATTTATCCTTAAGACTGTTTAGGATTTCTAGGTTTCTCTGGGAAGTTCCACTCTTCTTGACTGTTTTGAATCATTATTACTTTTCTTAAACTCTTGATCCATGTCACTTTCAGCAGGCAACTACATTTCCTAATCTACAGAGAAAGGTAAAGCCATAAAACAAGAATTTCTTCAATATCCTGCTACTAAACATACCAACATCCACATTCATTTCCTTTCTTCTTGTAACATAAGGGGTGTCTCGTCTATCTCAGGCCAGTCCTGTGCTCTGTATCCCCTGCTCCTCATAAACTTCACTAACAATGATCCCTTCTCCAATTTATTAACCACTTTCTAATCAACTGTAGTTTTCTTATCTATATTTAAACATGCTCTTTTCTCTCCAACCTTAAAAATCTTTAACAATACATCTTTTAAGCTACCTTCCCTATTTGTTTACATAACTCAGGTACAAAACAAGTTTCCATGATCTTAGGAAAAGATTTTGTTGTCATAGTAACAAGTAGCCCACTTAACTAATCAACTTAAGCCCACTTAACCAATCAACATTTCAACTTAATAAATATGTTCCTGCAAGCCAACCCATCAGAGAGAGCCACATTCCTCTATGGCCAGCTGAGTAGCTGAGTATTCCAATAAAAATGCTTCTATATGATACCAATCAACAGTCTCTCACTGATATCACTCCCTCCTACCTATGAAGGTCTACCAATGCCAGATCTCCATGCTTCCCCCATGTCCCACATAAGGTTCGTAGTCTGTTATGCTTGAAACCACTGCCTGAGTAGCATAGTCTTCCCTTACTTAGGGAGGAAATAAATCAAGTTTATCCCATCCTTTGAAACAGTCAAAATCAAATTATCTCTATAAAGGTTATCTATACCAGCTGTCTTCACTTGCTCATCAAATCACTCACTCCACGGAACGAATTTCATTTAAGTTACTACAGACTAGAAGTAGGTCCAATCCAACAGATTCTAGATCTTACTTTCCCCTTCAAGAGCATCTGTTAGTGTTAACCATTTGGTCTTTCTTAACATACTTTCCTACCTTTCTGTTCATTTGATATGTCTCCAATTTAGGATCTTTCTCTTCAACATCTAAATATAGGAATTTCTCAAGACCTAGTTGCAGGTATCTGTTCTTTTCACTGTATTTAGCCCATGAAACTGTTTTCTGGGGAAGAATTAAGACCAAATACTCTAAGGCTTCCATTATGAGTATGAGAACTTCTGCGCATCTAGAACGTTAACAGCTAGTTACCATCTTTGAAACAACTGACAAAACCCCAGTTGAGAAAGGTAGCTCTATAACCTCTTCTACGGTCTACCTTATCCTGGTTTCATTTACCACCTCTATGCTAATGAATACAATTTCTATATGTAGCTTAGGTATATGCTCTGAACTCCAGACATAAAGTGCTGTTTAAAATGTCCAATGGGATGTTTCAACAGTAACTCAAACCCAACATGTTCAAGGATAATAGTAAACACAATCTTTCAATCTACTGTGTATCTCAGACATTTAAATTTCTCTGGAATGTAAGCTCTCTAGAAATGTGAACTGTCTATTTCCTTTACTATCATAACCTCAGTGCCAAAAATGCTGTACTGTATGAAGGGTAAAGTCTTAAGTTTTTATTGAATAAATGAATCTAGTGACTATAGCAAAAAATTATGCATTTACAATGCATTAAACATACTTTCTGACATATAATAAACGCCTCAGAAAATGCATTATTGTCGTCAGTAAATTTTTTTCTTTTTTTTTTTTTTTTGAGACAGAGTCTTATTCTGTTGCCTTGGCTAGAGTGCAGAGGTGCTATCTTGGCTCACTATAAATTCTACCTCCTAGTTCAAGTGATTCTTGTGCTTCAGGCTCCTGGGCTAGGATTACAGGCACTGCCATCATGTTCAGCTAGTATTTGTATTTTTAGTAGAGACGAGAGTTTCACCATGGTGGCCAGGCTGGTCTTGAACTCCTAACCTCAAATGATACACCCGTCTCAGCCTCTCAAAGTGCTGAGGTTATAGGCATAAGCCAATGCACCCGGCCTGTCTTCAATAATTAAAAGGAAGAGAAAACAAAACTCTTATGAGTATGAAGTGAGGCAGGCAAGAAATCAGAAACAAAACGAAACAAAACAAAACCAAACCCAGAGTACAGAAAAACAACTCCCCCGCCAACCAAAAAAAAACTTTTCAAATAATCAGAGTTCTCCGAATACAGCAAAAGCTATCTAAGGTATAATAAAAAAACCTTGCTCAGAAGAACTGAAAAGCACTGTATTTCTAGTTGTGTATCTTACATGACATTCTTCTCTCTGCCAAGAAAACAAATAATATATAATATAATCAATTTCTTCAAAAAGTGTATAATCTAGTTGGATAAAGCTAAGAACCAGAAAAAAAAAAAATAAACCCAAAAGGGCTCCTTCATGATTTCAGAGTTCGCACCAATTTAGGAAAAGTCAGTAAGCTTTCATTTTTATATGCTGAATATATGTCAAATTATGCCTTCAAATTAACTGAGAATTTTGGGATACACTCAAATATGTTTACAAATTGGGACACTGTTGAACAAAGAAAGGCATGCTTCTAAAAAACTGTTTTTGCTGAATTAAAGGTAGCTTTTTACTTATTCAACTGAATGTAACATCATTTGGAAGGTTAAGAGAAGTTTCTTACCATTAAAACAGTCTTGGAGGAATCACCGGAGTATCTGAGACTGAATACTCCCAAAGCCCCAAGAACACAAAAAAAAGTAAATGTAGCCAAATTTCGAATATCTAGTAATGACTCTATAAGTGGTATTGTACCCATGGTCCAATCACAGCAGAGCTCTGAAGGATTTAATAAAAGCCAAGCATTCACAGGAAGGAGGTAGTTAAAAGTTAGCTGCCTTGTAGGAGTTGGGCTTACAGCAGCTGGGTTATCAAACCTGTATAAAGAATAAAACAATGATTACAAATAAAACTTTTAAAATACAAATTTATTTACATAAATAAAATACTGAACTATAAAGAAATTTTATACATCATCTTATTAAATAGAAGACACAGACATACGTTATATGTAGCTCAGACTCTTGCTAGAGTTCAAAATATCAAAACTTTATGAAATGTCTACTTCAGAGAAGTGGTATTTATGAAGGATTGTTTGAAAGGCAACCAGGTCATTCATTTTTGTTTATTATTAGAATAATTTAGACATGTACCTATAATATTACAATACTGCAAAAGTGTTCCATTAAACCTTCTGATTAAAAGTAGTAACAAAATGAAGATTTATTGTTGTATGTTACATATGAATCACTTTTGAAAACACTCACCAATGCTTTCCTACATGAGACATTTCTTTTAGAGCTAAATGCTAATTAAAAATTAAGCTTACTTACTTTAAAAACTAGTATGTTTTTCTCCTTTCATAGACAGAGAAAACTGTATCACCTAGAAGCTTTTTTCCCACTTTTCTTTGACTCCTAGAAACTAAAAACCAAATTTCTAGTACAAAGTAGTAACTGTGTAGGCATATGTAATAATTTGTGTTCTACGTTTTCTCTTAGTAAATACTAATGTAAGCTTATATCATAGTTTATCTTTTCCCAGGCCATGACATAAATACCTTTCATTAGTTTAGTCTGTGTTCTACATTTTGTTGGCTATAATATAGTACTTTAAAAACCCATTTTCTCATTTTAAAATAACTCAGTGAAAAATCAATTGCTACCACTTATTTGACTTGATTTTCTAAAAACATATCAAATAGCTGATAAAAATAAATACTTTTTGAACAAATAGTATCATTTCAAAATTTTCATACTGAATCTTACAACTTACATATTGTTTTTCATAAAAAAAATTATAGTCTGAACTTGAATTCTCAAAATAACCAGCAGAACTGAATAAAAAGTTATCTTTTTATCTATAATTCACTATTTAGAGTTTAGTTTTAAAAATTAACAGCTTATTTAGGATAGCTGATTTAATAACAGAACAAAACAAATGAAACTAAGAAGTAAAGAAGGAAATACAAAGTCTATATATAAACAATTCAGTCTACTCTGTTTCTAATACTGTAATATCTGCATGAGTTCATTTTAGCATGGCTAGACTCAGAGGTAAAAATCCAGGACGTTAAAAATTAATTATTCTTTAAAGGAAAAAAAAATGCTAGTGAGGACAGTTACGTGAAAATATCACACAATTTTGGATTTTAAAAAAATTATCTGAATAAAATTTATTCTAACTAGTGCCAACAAAGCACTATCATGTAACATAACGTGAATACCACGTTAGCCTTTTGTTAAAAATAAAAGTTCTTGCAAGTAACGCCAATAACTTAAAATTGAACAGGAAAATAGTATAAATTTCATTTTAAATTTTAGACAAGTCAGGTGAAATGAAAAAAGGCTAAATGTTAAAGAAGAAAAATATAATATGCAGACTTTAAATTCAGTGTATCTTCTGTTTTCTAGCCTTAAACAACTAAAAAACTATGTAAGAGGTAGAGTATTTTTTTTAACATACTGAGCATAAGATGAAAAAGGACGTTAATACCTGAGAGAAGAAAAACAAATAAGGGAGATCTAGCCGGAAAGAGTTTAGTATCTGGATAGAATTTTTAGTTGGTAAAACAGTAAGAGGGAACCCAGGCTGAGCCCAGCGGACATAATGAATTGAGAAAATGAAGCTGGAAGCCCTAGGAGTGCAGGGGGGTAGATTAGTGAGGCAGAATCCTGACAGAAGAAAGCTGCTGAGAAAGAGAACTTGAGACATCTGCAGAGGGTCTCTCTCCAGTTTTCAACATGAGGTTGTTTTTTTTTTTTTTTTTTTTTTTGGAACAGTCTTGCTTTGTTGCCCAACCTGGAGTACAGTGGCACCATCTTGGCTCACTGTAACCTCAGCCTCCCAGGTTCAAATGATTCTTGTGCCTCAGCCTCCCAAGTAGCTGGGATCAGACATGCACCACCACACTGGCTAATTTTTGTACTTTTAGTAGAAATGAGTTTTTACCACGTTGGCCAGCCTGGTCTTGAACTCTTGACCTCAAGTGATCCACTCATCTTAGTTTCCCAAAGTGCTGGAATTACAGGTGTGAGCCACCACACCTGGCCCAATATTCATCAGTTCAAATAAGCACATATATGTGAGGAAATATCCATGGTGGATGTAGTGGATTGAATCATGTTTCTCCAAAATTCATGTCTACCCTAACTGCAGAATGCGGTCTTATTTGAAAATAGTTTCTGCCAATACAATTAGTTAAGATGAAGTCATAATAGGTTAGGGTGGGCCCTAAATCCAACAACTGTGGTTCTTATAAAAAGAGAAGAAAGAGATATGTTAGAAAAAAGGCAATGTGAAGACAGAGAAGATTGGAGTGATGGAGCTACAAGCCAAGGAATGCCAAAGACTGCTAGCAACCACCAGAAACTAGGAGACATTTATGGAACAAATTCTTCCTCACAGTCTCCAGTAGAAGCCAATTGTGCTGACATACCGATTTTGTATTTCTGGCCTCTTGAACTGCGACGGAACAAATTTCTATTGTTTTAAGGCATCCAGTTTGTAATTATTTGTTACAGCAGTCTTTGAAAAACTAATACAATCAGAAAAAAACCTCCTGAATGTATTAGAGCTAAAAATCCCCAAATATACAGAGCCAGGAATAGTTCCTTGGCAGACAGTGTGGCAATCTTCATAATGCATAGTTCATATCGAATAGTCAAAAGGTCTTGCATCAGTAGTGAAGTGAAATTAGTCTCATCCTAAACGCTGTTGTGGTCCCACAAAACAAAGCTTAAAAGCAAGACTGAAGGATAAAACATTTTCCAAGTAACTTAAATGCATCCCAGAATAAAACTCAAAATTTACAGAATACATTAAGGTAAAATTCACAAATGGCAACTGTTCAACAATTACTGGGCATACAAATAAGCAGAGAAATACAATCTATACTGAAGAGAAAATTTATTCAATAAAAACTGACCAAGGAATGACACAGATGACAGAATTAGTAGGCAAGGACATTAAAGCAGTAGAACATGTAGAGATATAGAAGATATAAAAGACTCAAATCAGACTTCCTTCTGGAGATGAAAACAGATTCTGAGGTAAAAAAATAATTAGACGAGGATGGGCACAGTGGCCCATGCCTGTAATCCCAGCACTTCGGGAGGACGCGGCGGGTGGATCATGAGATCAGAAGTTCAAGACCAGCCTGGCCAAGATGGTGAAACCCTGTCTCTACTAAAAATACAAAAATTAGCCAGGCATGGTGGCAGGTGCCTATAATCCCAGCTATTCAGGAGGCTGAGGCAGGAGAACTTCTTGAACCCGGGCGACAGAGGTTGCAATGAGCCGAGATTGCGCCACTGCACTCCAGCGAGTGAGACTTGTCTCAAAAAAAACTTAGACAAAATTAAGGGTAGATTAGATATTGCGGAAAAAAAGATTACTGAACTTGATATAGCAAAAGAGACTATCCAAACTAAAAATGGTAAATGATTTGAGGGAAAAAACCAACATCAGTACAACTTCAAGAAACTTAAATAGACTTAAGTGATACACAAGAAAGAGAAGAAAAAGACAAGATGGCAAAAATATTTGAAGATTAGCTAAACATTTTTCAAAATTTACACAACATTAAAACCCATGGATTTCAAGCTCAGTTAACCTAAGCATAAGAAACATAAATATATAAGAAACAATAGTAAAGAGAAAATACTAAAAATAAGCATAGAGAAAAAATACATATAACATACATTAGCATGAAAATAAGCATGAAAGAGGTTTTGCCACTGAAAACAATACAAGCCAGAAGCCAGTAGGTTTACATTTTCAGAATACGGAATGAAAAAGTCAGTGCAGAATTCTCTACCCAGACAAAGTATCTTTCAAAACCAGGTACTTTTAATAAAGAAGTGCTAAAGAAAGTCCTTCAGGAAAAAGGAAAAATAATACCAGATAAAAATCTTACCTAACAAAGGAATAAAGAACACTGAAAATGGTAACTCCAAGGTTAATGTGAAATACTTTTTCATTATTTAAGTTACTTTAAGACAACTGTTTAAAGCAATGTATATTCAAGAAAAATACATGCAAACTGCACAAATGCTAAGTTTTTACATATATAAAATGCATATTATATATATTTATGCTACATAAGCTGATATATATATTTTTTATAATATATAAATATATATGTATATATTTGAAATTAGAATATTCCTTGAAGGTAAACTGTGATAAGCAGAGGATGTATTCTAAAACCCTAAAGCAATACTAAAACAACACAAAGATTTATAGCTAATAAGCCAACAAGGAGATAAAATAAAATATTAAAAAAGGATCCAAAGAAAGGCGGAAAGAGAGGAAAAAGGAAGGGAACAAAGAATAGATTGGACAAAGAGAAAACAATTTTAGCAAGATGACAGACTTCCATCAAACTGTTTATCAATAATCATATTAAATACAAATCAATGACATAACCCATTTAAAAGTAAGACTAAGTGCCTATCCCATTTAAAAGTCATATTAAATACAAATCGATGACATAGCCCATTTAAAAGTCAGATTATCGGACAGAACAACAAAAGAAGATCCAACTGTATGCACACAACAAGAAATCCTCTTTATAAATAAAAGCATAGACAGATAAAAAGTAAAAGGATGGAAAAAGATATACCACATAACACTAACGAAAGATAGGTGGGATAAGACAAAGCGAATTTCTGAGTAAAGACTATTACTAGGGATGAAACTCATTAAATAATGACAAAGGGATCAGTTCCTCAACATAACCTGAGAATCCTAATTGTTTACACACTTAATAGCAGAGCTTCAAAAACACATAAAACAAAAACCGATACAAGTGCAAGGAGAAATAGTGAAATCTACAAGTACAGCCAGAGATTTCAACATTGTTCTCTCAATAACTGACAGAATGAATAGACAAAAATCACTAAAGATATAGAAGACTAAATCAACACTAACCTTAACACTTAACCAGTTTGGGATGGGTCATTCATTATCTTTATTGTGGGGGCATACATATGTCAAAATTTACCAATCTGTATATCTTAAATATACGCAGTTAAAAAAATGTTAATTATATCTTACTAAAACTGTTAAAAAACAAAGTAAATAAAATACTTTCTGGAACATTTATGATCACTTTAAATCCACAGTTAAAAAAAAAAATGGAGAAAATAAAGAACCAGAATGCCATACCTGGTGAATACTGGAAGTTGGGATTGAATAACCTGGACTCTAATCACAACAAGTAATAATGTACTGAACATCAAGACAATGAGTTTTACTAGTGTCTGCAGCATAGAAAATGGAATGCTACCCTTTCCACGGAGAAACTGTCCAGCTGTAGTACATAATAATGGCAAAGTATACTGAAAAAGAAAAGAAATGTTTTAAGCAACAAATAACAATATACCACAATGTTTTCAATACTGTAGTACTTTCTATTGCAAGATTAGATATAATTATAACTATAAAATTAATACGGAAGAATGTATGATGCTAATAACAAACACAACTGAGCTCAATAGTCTTACCCAATAATAAATTGTACTGTATAGTATTACTGCATACTTTTCCAAACTGCCTAATGATTCCGGTATTGAAACTTAAAATACAGTTATGAAAACACTGAAAGTGTCATAAAATGTTAAGTAATATTCAGTAGGTATGAGAATAAAACATGATTTCTGGTATTATTATTGGTAAACACACCAATGTATGTAATGATACATTTAGAAAATAAATAAAATCTAATTTAACTAGGATAAAAGATATCAACAAGAAAATTCATATATTGGTATTTTTTGCTTACCCCCTGGGCAATAAACACTTCATACACACAGCAAATTCCCACAACTGTTATTCCCTGTTCTTTACACAATGTTGCAACAGCCACTAAAAACACTGTCAATGCAACTGGAGTCCATACTGCAGTTTGAGAAAAGATAAAAATTTAGAAAACAATTTAATAACATCAAAAAAAGATACTTTAAACTTTACTTGTGGTTCCATACCCATATGAGGGCTATTTCCCATGCATAAATACTATGTACTTTTAAATATATTTAAATTTTATAATTTTTGCTTTATACATTCAAAGCAAAATATCAACATGTATAATTTGAACTGAAAATTTTTTACAGAGAGAAAAATTATTTAATCAAATACTAACTTTTAAAACAAAGACAGGACAGTGAATTTGGAGAAGAGAAATTTACAGATTTATGTGTCACAATTAATGAACTATCAATCTGAAATGAAGACAAATTCCTGAAATTATGATATATATCTTTATACTTTATTAAATTGATAAACTATTAAAAACTTAAAATTTACAATTATTGGGAAAAGTAGGGTACCATTCTCTCTCTCTCTCTCTTTAGACAGGGTCTCACTCTGTCACTCAGGCTGGAGAAAGTACAATGGTGTGAACATAGTTAACTACAGCCTTGAATTCTGATATTCAGGCAATCCTTCTGCCTCAGCCTCCCAAATAGGACTACAGGCATGTGTCACCACCTTTGGCTATTTTTTTTTTTTTTTAATTTCTTTAGAGACAGGATCTTGCTATGCTACCCAGGTTGGTCTCAAACTCTTGGCCTCAGGCTATCCTCCCACCATGCCAGGATTCCAGCATGAGCCACTGTGTCCATCTCATTCTTATAAAAATTGAAATCAAAGTGGTTAACAATAGGCACTTGAATCAAAACTATTTGTCAAAAACTTTGCAATAGACTATAAGTGCTATTTAAATGAAAATCGTACTTCACTGACATTAAATAAATGCCTACGATGTAGCAGTAATTTGATTGAAGAGTAATGAACTTCGAAAGTAATTTTGTATCTACTACTAATTTGCTTGTGAGTTTGGGCAACTTTTCTGAGCTTCAGTTTTCTTTGAAAAAATATAACCTCTATTTCTTTTCCAGTTTAAAAAAATATCTGGTAGTATGACTGTATAACCTCAGATTTTATTAAGAATATTAACTAAAGCAAAAATTCAAATAATTGACTTAAATCTAAACAAGAACAGAATTCATGAACTGAATACTTTTTCTTTTGTCATTGGGCTTAATATAGAAATTCACCTATTTTTGAAATTGTTTTCAAAGCACTCTACAGACTAAAACTACTCTAAGAAAAAAGAAATAAAAACAAAGAAATAAATGAAAAAACCAAACCCATGAAACTGGTGTGGATACTAAGTATAATAATACTAAAAAAATAAAAAAAAATCTTAAAATCTTAGCAGGTCAAAATCATCAATACTAACATATTATACTACAAAATGCTAAATTCAATAATAAATTCATAGAGGAAGAAATCAGAAGATGCTTACTTACGAAACAGAATGGACCTCATCTGGACCTTGAAGGATATACAGGACATGGAAAAAGTGGGAAAGGTGGATGCATGAATAAAGAAATATGGATGAGTAAGCTAGGTAAATGAAGGATATAGAGCAGGCATCCCCAAACTTTTTACATAGGAGGCCAGTTCACTGTCCCTCAGTGGAGGGCTGCCACATACTGAGCTCCTCTCACCACCAATGAAAGAGGTGCCCCTTCCTGAAGCGCCGCGGGGGCCCGGATAAATGGCCTCAGGGGGCCGCATGCGGCCCGAGGGCCGTAGTTTGGGGACGCATGATATAGAGAATAGTATGAATGGATGTGTATGTCTACATAAAAACTTGTAGGAAATAATGGCCTTGAAAGAAAGCAGGCATTTTAAACAGTTTATATAGCCAGTTTAGCATATATTATTTCACTGAATCTTAAAATCACTCTATGGAGTGAAAACACAATGTAATCATACCTAATTTTAAGATGAGGAAAGAATTTTAAAGTTTTTTTTTTAAAAAAAAAGGAACAAAGAATAAGGAGACCAAGACTTTAACATGGTTCTTCTGATTTTAAATTCAGAGCTTCTTAGTAATTTGTATTTCTATGTCAAGGAAGAAAAAGCAAAGACTTAACCTTTTATAACCCTGGATTCAATCTCAGCAACTAAGAGTAATAAACACAAATGCCTTACTGAAACCAATCACTTCAGTTCTTCAACCTCTAGTGACAATATTACTATATACATATGAACACTTTGATTTTATAATAAGAACTCTGTGGTTAAAGTTACCACGTGATTTTGTCCAAAATACGTACACCTGGTAAATAAGTTAAGGACGCTTAGATCCATTTCCATTTCAAACTACAGGCTTCTCAACTGACTCTACATATGTAAAAGAAACACATCTTCAGCAATCACTTATTCAAACAGTCATTTTAAGTATCTACTACATTTCAAGGGTACAGGGAAGAGATAGATGACAATCAAACAAGTAATGATATAGTTTGTCAAATGGTGACAAAGTGTAAGTGTTACAGAGAAAAAAGAGGATGAAGGGAAATAAAAATAGCACCACTGGGAAAGATGAGTGGTGCTAATGATGACATTTAAGTGGATACTTAAGCAGAAACCTGAAGAAATAAAAAATCAAGTGTAAAGGCCTTGAAATTGGATGATCATGCTTACAAAAAGGGTATGAGACATGAATAATATAGAAGTTAAAGTGATTTCAGGTTCATCCATGTCCCTACAAAGGACACGAACTCATCGTTTTTGATAGGGACATGGATGAACCTGGAAACCATCATTCTCAGCAGACTGACACAAGAGCAGAAAATCAAACACTGCATGTTCTCGCTCATAGGTGGGTGTTGAACGATGAGAACACATGGACACAGGGAGGGGAGCACTACGGGTCTGTTGCGGGGAAATGGGGGAGGGACGGGGGGTGGGAAGGTGGGAAGAGATAGCATGGGGAGAAATGACAGATATAGGTGAGGGGAAGGAAGGCAGCAAACTACACTGCCATGTGTGTACCTATGCAACAATCTTGCATGTTCTTCACATGTACCCCAAAACCTAAAATGCAAAAAAAAAAAAAAAAAAAAAGAGTTCAAGACCAGACTGGCCAACATGGTGAAACCCCACCTCTACTAAAAATACAAAAAAAAAAAAAAAAAAAAAAAAAAAAAAAAAAAAAAAGCAGGGCATGGTGGCGCATGCCTGTAATCCCAGCTACTTGGGAGGCTGAGGCAGGAGAATTGCTTGAACCCAGGAGGCAGAGGTTCCAGTAAGTCAAGATCACACCACTGCACTACAGCCTGGGCAACAGAGGGAGACACTGTATCAGAAAAAGAAAAAAAAAAAAAAAAAAGAATGGAAACACTCTAATTTTTCATCAATTAGGGGCTGGTTAAATAAACCATGACACATCCATGCAATAAAGTGCTATAAGTTCATTAAAAAAAAAAGTTAAAGTGATTATAAATAATTACAACTTGAAAACCTTTGTACAGGACAGTGTACACTAGATACAACAGGGAATAGAAAGATGATGTGGAAACTGTGGCTTCAATGGTAAAATTACTGAGTACAAAGCATCCCAGTAGTTAAGAGGATAAAGAGAGGTTCAAGGTAGGTTTTAAAATTTTTTTTCAATTAGAATTTAAAATATTTAGAATTTAAAATAATTCACTTACTTCTTCAATATACACATACTAAACACCTACTGTAATCTAGGAATCATTCTAGGAAATGAGGATCAAAAAAATGAAGAAAAAGTTACCTACCCTAATGAAGGTCACATTCTATTGTGAGAAAACAATAAACAAAAGAAAAATGTAAACTACCTATTTTCAGGTTAGAAACGAGTATTTTCAGAAATGTAAGTTAAAGGTATAGAAAACAACATTATTCTGTTCTTGTTTCAGTCAAATGGGGAACTAGCTTCACCTGTTGGTCCATCAAAAATCAACCCTAGAAAAAGGTTAAGTGAGAGGGAAAAATGGTTTCTAAGACACTTTTGTTTTTGTTTTTGTAAAAAGACAAAAAAAATACTCCTTGGCATTTCGAGGTTATCTTAAGCATGTGTGGTTCTGCGAGTGTTATGAGAAATTACATTTAAAGCAGAAGACAAGAGTGAGAATTTTTTCTTAATCTTTTTTCTATCCTTTCCTGACTACTTTGGATAGATCGCTACCTGCTCCATTACTGAAGAAATACACAGCTACAATGGTTAGTGGGTGTTTCAGAGGTAAAATCAGAGCACTTCAGAAGTCTTGATGGAGTAAGAGGTAGACTTTTTTTTCAAAAGGTACAAACGAACCAATCACTCCTAAGTAGTAATTTCTACCTAGTTACCACTTAAATGCAGAGAAATGATGGACTGGCCTCTTCATGCTGATTCTCTTAAAGAAACCACAGAGTGTGCCTAGTAGCACTGGCAGGAACAACAGTGATCCACAGTAGCTCTGCGGAAAGTGGAACTTTAGATCCTGGTTTATAATTCCTTTCATCCCTTCAGAATCACAGGGCGAACAAAGAATAACCCTGGCCTTTTCCTTTAAACAGGCACAGTGCTTTATAACTTTAGAAGAATATGTGGCTTGAGCTCCCAAGCCAAAATAACTAAATATCTGAAGGGTACAACAATCATCAAACAGAGAGAACAAATTAACATATACTATCTAAATCAGAATTAAAGAGACAGATCAAGAATTTCAAATATGCAATTTTTTTAAAAATCAGGCAAGATACCAGAATTGTGAATAAGAAATCATTAAAAAGCACCAAGTACAGGTATTTGGAACAAAAGATATGATATGGTAAAGGCTATTTCAGTTAGAAGAGGGAAGGCTTTTCTAAGACAGAAATAGAATCCTCAGCTTAAGAAGCTGAGGACTGATAAACATAAAGATCTAAGAGAAGAAAATTCAATAAAGGGAAATGCAGGTATAAAGGTGGGTGCTCTGCCTTTTTAAGAACAGCAAGAAGGTCTATCTAGCTATAGTGAAGAGAGCTAGGTTAAGAATGGCAGAAGACATGATTAGACAGGTAATCAAGAGCCTGATTATAATCCTGCAGGCCACAGTATTTTCTAAGTTTACCATTCAGGCTTTGGTGAAGATGGTACTTAAAGAGGATATTGGCTTGCAATTCCATATTAGTTACTAAACTACTTCTTACTGCATGATGTACTGCACAGCTGGGGGACTATTATTATTTTTTTTAATTTTATTATTTTTTTTACATTTCTTTATTTTTAAAACACCATGTACCCCTAAAAAATACGAAGCATGCTGAATTTTAACATGTGAAGAACATGTAAGATTGTTGCATAGGTACACACATGGCAGTGTGGTTTGCTGCCTTCCTCCCCATTACCTCTATCTAGCATTTCTCCCCATGTTATCCCTCCCCAACTCCCCAATCCCCGCTGCTCCTCCCCTAGTTCCCCCTGACAGACCACAGTATGTGATGCTCCCCTCCCTGTATCCATGTGTTCTCACTGTTCAACACCCGCCTATGAGTGAGAACATGCGGTGTTTGATTTTCTGTTCTTGTGTCAGTTTGCTGAGAATGATGGTTTCCAGGTTCATCCATGTCCCTACACAGGACACGAACTCATTGTTTTATGGCTGCATAGTATTCCATGGTGTATATGTGCCACATTTTTCCTGTCCAGTCTATCATCGATGGTCAATCGGGTTGGTTCCAAGTCTTTGTTATTGTAAACAGTGCTGCAATGAACATTCATGTGCATGTGTCCTTCCAGTAGAACAATTTATAATCCTTTGGATATATACTCAGTAATGGCATTGCTGGGTCAAATGGAATTTCTATTTCTAGGTGCCTGAGGGGACTATTATTATGCACATTTAACAGATAAAGTAATGAAAGCACAAAGAGGTTAATCTCCCGACCTATTACAGTGAATGGGGCCAGTAAATAAACAGTGGAGTTAGAATTTGAAACCAAACTTCTTAGTCCATGCTTTTAACTACTATGCTAGGCTGCCACTCAAACTGTTTATAAGAAGGCATTATGCAGAGTAGCAAGAGCAAACCTACTTACATTACAAATCCAGAACACTCTAAGATGTTTGGCTAAATCATGTGTTTCTTCAACCTCAGTTTCCACACATAAAACTAAGCTTCTTGTCATGGGTACCTGGGAACTACAGTGAGAAAATCCCCCCTCCATCCCAAGAACTTAAACTTTAAGAGGAATCAAATAAAGGTTTGTGCCCACTCTGCCCACACTGTAAAAATCATTTTTATTGCCTGGAACTTGTTTTCTGACAATTGCAGACATCATTAAGACTAATGAGCTAACATATACAAAGAAGTTTCCAGGGTACGTGGTCACAAGGTAAGAGCTCAATAAATAGTTATGATCGACACACAATAAAAGTTATACTCTAGCAGGCTTTTAACCTTGCCTAAACAATATCAGTCTACCAGGTGTTATTTATTGAAAGACAATTGAAATGCTGGTACCTATATCATTTATAGATACCAAAAGAAGAAACTAGGACTAAGTCTAAAACTCTTCTATTCTAAGGTTATTTGGATTTTAAAATTAGAATATATAAAATTTATTAGCTCATGATAACAATATAAGCTATACACAAACTTCTTAAAAACAGCAGTGTTACATATTTCATATTTTCATACATGCTAAAGTAAAACAATAGGTAAACATAAATCCCAAGTGTGGAATATAATGTATTACAAGAAGAGCTTGGAGTAAATAAAAATTCCTTGATCCAAGTTTTAGTGCTGGTAAAAAAAAATAAAATGTTAGACATTTACCTATGGAATTGTCTGGTCCTTTTGATCTGGTATATGACAAAAAAGCTGCTAGAAAAAAGATAGATGACAAAAGTTCTGCTCTTCCTACAACTCCTGTTACCTAGAAAGGAAAAAGGAAGGGGCTTCGTATTAATAAAAAATATCTTGAAAAATTACTATATATACTAGTAAAAAGTTTAATTTCTGTAACCTTTCAAGTGCACATTTCTGAACATTCTTTGGGTGCCCTCAGGTGGCGAATTTGTGTATCTTTCTTACATAAATAGAAATTTATTAGTGAATCTAACAGTTTTAATTTTTTTTTTTTTTTTGAGACGGAGTTTCACTCTTATTACCCAGGCTGGAGTGCAATGGTGCGATCTCGGCTCACCGCAACCTCCGCCTCCTGGGCTCAGGCAATTCTCCTGCCTCAGCCTCCCGAGTAGCTGGGATTACAGGCACGTGCCACCATGCCCAGCTAATTTTTTGTATTTTTAGTAGAGACGGGGTTTCACCATGTTGACCAGGATGGTCTCAATCTCTTGACCTCGTGATCCACCCGCCTCAGCCTCCCAAAGTGCTGGGATTACAGGCTTGAGCCACCACGCCCAGCCTAGTTTTAATTATTTTTTAACTTACCTTGAATAATAATAAGACTTACAGGAAGTTTCAAAACTAGTAGAAATTCTGTGTACTCTTTATCTAGCTTTCTCCAATGGTGACTACTTAAATATGGTACGATATCTAGAATTTAAGTCCTTACATATTTTCTTAAAATATGAGTGTTAACATACAAACGTATCATTAATTCAAAAAGTTACATCCCATAATAAATCTGAAAACTAAAGTTTAAAAAGACAATAAACTGTAAAAAGTCCTTTTAAATTAGTATTCATTAAAAAAAGTGAGCAAAGAACTGTATTCATATATATGTCTCTAAACAGATTTTTATGTTCTTGAATGAAAAAATGTTTGTTTCAAAAATTAATTTAAAAATTTTACACAGTAGGAAGTTAGACTTTGTGTACTAGAAAGTTAAGATTTTACAAATTTAAGAGCCTTCAAATATTTCTATTAAAGTCAGGGTTAAATTTTTTTTTCTTAAAAATATATACCATTATAATCACTGCAGGATTTGAAAAAAAAATAAAAAAGAAAGAAAAAAGAAAAAAAGTCAATTCACAGTTTTACTTACTGCTTCTGTGTGTACTGGGTGCACTGCAAAAAGTAAAGAAGCAATCACACTACTCTTGTTGTCCAGAAAAAGTTTGCACACTTTGAGAAATATCACACTAACCACAGCATGAAAAACCATATTCAGGAGATGATATGACATTGGTTTTAGTTCACTTAACAAATAATTTAAGCGAAATGTCAATACTGTTAAGGGACGGTAAGACTTGTGGCTTCTCTCCTAAAAGGAAAAAACAATCAGTGATTATTAATGTACCTTGGTCCAACAGGGTACAAAAGCTCATCATTGCATTTACTATTAAAGATATTAATAACTACATTTTACTAAGAAATAACAATAAAATATGGAATGTCCTAAGAGTAACACAAAAATTGAATATAGTTTTATAATCTGGGTTTTTCTATTTCTCCTTAGTCCACAAACAAGGTAATTTCCTCCTTCTATATACAGTGGTCAGAGAATTAACAGTAAAAGGACATTTGATTAATTCCTCTTCAATATAACAATTTTTTTTTTTTTGAGACAGAGTTTTGCTCTTGTTACCCAGGCTGGAGTGCAATGGTGCGATCTCGGCTCACCGCAACCTCCGCCTCCTGGGTTCAGGCAATTTTCCTGCCTCAGCCTCCTGAGTAGCTGGGAGTACAGGCACGCGCCACCATGCCCAGCTAAGTTTTTGTATTTTTAGTACAGACGGAGTTTCACCATGTTGACTAGGATGGTCTCGATCTCTTGACCTTGTGATCCACCTGCCTCGGCCTCCCAAAGTGCTGGGATTACAGGCATGAGCCACTGTGCCCGGCCCCAATGTAACAATTTTTAAAAATAGTAAGACAATACCAGCATTGGTCAAGCTGGAGCATAGGATTCTCTCCAAAACCTGCCTCCCTATCTATTACCAACACAAAAGTTTATGTAGCTACTGGGTAGATCTTCAAAAAGAAATATAAGAACAGAATACCTATCAGTTCAATTAAAATAGCAATGGCTCAAAAAGGTACTGTCTAGTTGTTTCACGAAAAACATCTCCATAATGTATAAATTTGAATATATTAAACTAGAAATTCCCAAATTACAGAGAGTAATGTAAGAGCAAAAACTTTCTTAGAATATGAAAATAGACACTTTTCTTTGGGTATTCATTCTCTTTTGGCAATAAATCAAATTTCAAGTGAAGTACTGACTTTCTTTTTAAACTATGTTACATTTAATCAGAAAAATTTCTTTCCCTAAGAGACAAAATCAAACCAGATTTAATAAAACACACAGTTCAAATATGTATAAAATATTAATCAAGTTATTTTTTGTAGTTTCATACAAAGGGCAGTGACATCATTTGGATGTTTGTTCCCCTTCCATATCTCATGCTGAAATGTGAAGAGGTTGAAATGTTGATGGTTGGGCCTGGTGGGAGATGTTTGGGTCATTGGGGGTGGTCCTTTATGAACAGACTGGTGTTTTCCCCACTGTAATGAGTTCATGTGAGAGCTGGTTGCTAAAAAGAGCCTGGAACCTCCTCCCCTCTCTTTTGCTCGGTCTCTCACCATGAGATACATCTGCTCCCCCTTCACCTTTTACAGGGGGTAAAACTTTCAAGGCCTCACCAGAAGCCAAGCAGATAATGATGTCCTGCTTGTACAGTGTACAGATCCATGAGCCAAATAAACATCTTTTCCATATAAATTACCAAGTATTCCTTTACAGTAATGCAAAACAGACTAACACAGGCATCCATACTCAGCTTCTTTGCTCTTCTACTTATCATATTTTGCAGTAACTCCTTGGCACACAAGTATAGACTGAAGCCTGTTTATCCTTACTAGGGAACATTAGGAAACACAAGAATAAATATTTCCCATCTTGAAATTAGGAACATTTTAGTATCTCTGTACTGAATATATACTCCACAATGTTCTATCTACTTAGAAAGCTCTTTCCTGCTTGCCTAATTCCTCTACATCATTCAAATTTCATCTCAGGGACACAAAGCTATTTTTAAGGCACTGTATTGAATTGATATGATTTGTACCAGAAAGTAGTAAAGGACTCTAGAAACCCTTTTCAGTATCTAAAATGTCACTGTGGCTACAATGGAATATTCTAGGTGAAAGGATGTAGTCAGAAAGTAGAAGGAAATATATATTTTGAATTGCAGTACACGTAATTGTTCAGTTAGGTTTATTAGAGATAAATATACTGTAGGTGATGACCAACTAATAGACCAATTATTAACATAACTAATTATTCACATAAATCATTAAGAATCCAAGATTCCACTGTGACAAATAATCATCAGCCTATCAGATATCAAGTTTACTTTGTGAAAACACCTAGAGCCACTATGAATCACGCAATTCAGATCATTACTACTTTCAGGCATATTAAAGCAAAACTTAATTACCTATATTAGTTGGCAATAAAAATACAAAACAGTATAATGAATGAATAAGCTAACAGCTCCCTGTTAATATGAATCTCAATAAAGGAATGGCAAAATCATAATGAGATAGGATATCTGCAGAGATTACCTTAACACAAGGTACTTTATAGGCCAAATGCCAGAGAAGGTGGCTTATTGCAGTATCCTGGCCTTCAGCTATGGATAAACCAAATAACCACCTGGATGACTTAAAACAAAAAGCCTCACCCTCCCTCCCACACAAAACAACTAAACACACAAACATACAGAATAAGACAAATATATTGATACCTACATCCCACTCTGAGATTACCTGAAATAGGTTTGGATAGAACCTTAGAAATATGTTTTTATTGTTTAAATGCACCAGGCAGATTCTAATATGGCAGTCAGGGTTGTAATCCAGTGAACAATCAATAAACAGACTATGACATAACTATAGAATAAGCCCACTAAAGACATCATCTAAACACAGAGAGGTTCATGGGAGTCCAAAGACCCTTAATATGGCAGTACTCAGATAGCTTAGGAGCATGTCCTAAACCCAAAATGTGTTTTTTTAGACCTACATTAGCACAAAAATTCCTGTAAGATACATGTAGACATATGTATCTTAAGCTATCATTACTTGATGACATCAACAATTAGATCTTTGAAAATGCTCATTCCAGGCTTATTATAAAACCTATGACACCTAAGAACTATCTAGAATAATTTCCCCTAATGTCACATTTGCCTACAGGGAGAGAATATGCCCAAAAGAAAATACAAGGAAATTACACTTTTCAGTTTTAATAAACTGTTATTCTAGTTTGCCCATCCATTCTGTCAGAGCATAATATGAGTCTTTTTCTTAGTCTGTTTGCTTATAGGCTCTCTGAACAAAATCAAATTTTCAGTCTGCAAAGCTAAGAAAATCACTAACTGGATCACTGACACCACAGTATGCGATATGTACGTGTGTCACTGCTCAACTCTCATATCAAAATGTAATCCCCAATATTGGAAGTGGGGACTGGTGGGAAATGATTGGATCATGGTGGTGGATTTCTTATGAATGGTTTAGCAACACCCTCCTTAGTAATGTATTCACTATAATGAGTTCTTGTGAGATCTGGCTGTGTAAAAATGTGTAGCACCTCCCACTTGGCTCTCTTGCTCCTACTTTTGCCATGTGAAATACCTGCTCCCGCTTCACCCTCCACCATTCCTGGAAGCTTCTTGAGGCCTCCCAGAAGCAGATGCTGCTATGCTTCCTATACAGCGGTAGAACCCTGAGCCAATAAAACCTCTTTATTTTTTTATTTATTTTTATTTTTAATAAATTACCCTGTCTCAAGTATTTCTTCATAGCAATACAAGAACAGCCTAATATAGAAAATGAGACCATTTAATCTGGCCAGCTAAACTATCAGTTCAAAACCTCAACATTATGACTAAAATCACAACAGATACTAGCATAAACTGAGGGAATGGACATATACTTCTGAAGGTCTCTGGGGATCAAAGGTAGGGGTAAAGGAGAATAAGCTGTCTAGAATAATGTACAGTAGGGCCATATTTTCCCCTTATTATCAAAAGATATTTTTTCAAAAGCTAGAATAGGGTGAACAAAAAGGCGAATAAGGTTTTCTTACTAAATAAGACAAAAATAATTATTATGTGCTTGTGATCAGAGGAATGAAAGATTCCATTCCTAACCTTGAGAGGCTTCCAAATTTGGGGAATGGAAAAAGAGGCCACAATGACCGAGAAACAAACTATTAATATTACAGAGTGTTTACATGTTATGTTTCAACAATTTAGTCAGTATCTATGTGCCACGCACTGTAGATACATAAAGTAATTCATTTATTTATTCTTAAAGTATTATCATCTTTTACGATCAGGAAAATGACTTTCCATCTAAAAAATGTATTCTCATCTGTTTTACACAGCTAATACATGACAGAACTAAAATTAGAACCCTATCTATATGATCTCAGGCTGACAAGGGTTTAATCAGTTTAATAGTGACCTTCAAAACGGTAAAAATACCCTAATAAAAATGAACCAAATAGATGAATAAAATATTAAATTATTGAACTAAACTTTTGAGTTCTCAATATAAAACGTAAATATTATGTAAGAGGTAAGACAAGATTTATAATTTTTGAAAACTACTTTTTCTGCAAGAGAAATTGGCAATATGTGTAGTTACTATTTTTACCCTTAAAGTCTTATCTCTTTATATTGACGTTGATGTATTTTAAAATGTTGAAATAGATCACATCTCTTTTGCCTTACTCATAAGACAGAAAAAAAAAATAAAGTCAATTAGCAAGAAATAGGCTTTTATTACAACTATTATTCTCCCTATACCTTTGGTTTTCACACTTATGTATTATTTTTAAGAAGTTAAGTCAAAACTATCTATTGGGTACTATACACAGTCTGGGTGAAAAATCTGTACCCCAAACCTCAGCATCACACAGTATACCCACATAAAAAACCTGCATATGTAACCTGGTATATAAAAGTTAAAATTTAAAAAAAAAACACAAAAAACAGAAGTCAAGGTACACAAACAAAATAATCAAGTATTCTGCTTTAAAGAAGATAACATCATCCTCAACTTCCTGTTCAATTTATTACATACATATTATGTCTCATATAAAAATTTTAGGGTAAAAAATCTGTAATTACTATGACGATAATGTTGATAAAGAATTAGAAGTAATAAAATACCAAAATATTTCAAAATCTGAGACATGAACAAATAATATATAAGTAATTACTTACCTCAGACATGGGGGTTCCCCAGAAGTCATTTTGAAATAAAGTTTTTAAAGGTGTGGATGGATGCAGGTCTTTGTTATCCAGTATTGCTGAAACATCATCAAAAACAAAACCACAAAAAAGGCTGTTCCAATAACAGGCAGTAACCACACCTACTATTAAGGTTATTTCTTTGAGGTTAACATCAGCCATCTTTTCTACAAGCACTTCTGGACAAAAACTGGAAAAAAAATCATGAAGATAAAATAAGCAATATATTTATTTCAGGTAAGTTCAATTTTAGTAGCTGGATAAGTAATTGCATACTAATTCTCCAGAGAAAAGCTCAGCTAAAATGCCATCCACTTGAAAGAAGTATAAGTGAATCACCTTGTTGAAATTCACCCCCCTCTCTAACTGGATAAAGCCAAGTAATCTTCTCTACTGTTCCAAGGCAGAAGACTGGAGATTTCCTTTGTGGATTATTTAAAACATAGGGTCTATGATAACAGGGACACAAGTGAGAACAAAGGCAGCATAATGAAAACAAAAGTTAGCCGGACGCGGTGGCTCAAGCCTGTAATCCCAGCACTTTGGGAGGCTGAGGCGGGTGGATCACAAGGTCAAGAGATCGAGACCATCCTGGTCAACATGGTGAAACCCCGTCTCTACTAAAAATACAAAAAATTAGCTGGGCGTGGTGGGTGCCTGTAATCCCAGCTACTCAGGAGGCTGAGGCAGGAGAATTGCCTGAACCCAGGAGGCGGAGGTTGCGGTGAGCCGAGATCGAGATCGCGCCATTGCACTCCAGCCTGGGTAACAAGAGTGAAACTCCTCCTCAAAAAAAAAAAAAAAAAAAAAAAGAAAACAAAAGTTAAGTAAAAGTCTGTCTATGTATTTTAGGTTGAGACCTTCTATCCCTCTTCTACTGGGCACAAAATTCTATAAAACTTTACAACACTGAAAACAAACAGGGTTCTAAAAGCTTCTGGAAATAAAAAAGGTTCCAATAAGAATCAGGAATCACAAGTCATTTTTTTTTTTCACCAAAAATGCTACAAGCTAGAAACGAAACAAAATTTCCTTCCAAAATAATAAAGAGTAATGCTTCAAATTTCTGAGAAATAATGATTTCTAAACTAAAATTCTGTATTAATAAACCTAAATTTCCCAGGTGAGAAAGTAGAATAAAAACGTAAGTCATTTAAGGTCTCAAACAATTTACCGCTGATATTCCTTTTCAAGAAACTAGGAGAGAAGGTACACTAGTAAAATGAGTCAGTATATTAAGAAACACAGATACACAAATCAGGAAATGGGATCCAATATAAAACAGCTATATATAAATGTTATAATTTAGTAAAACCTAATGAATCAACTCAGGATATCTATCTTCGGGTAGGTAAAAATCAAGTTTTGTGCACAGGTCAGAAACCCTCTTCCCATAAATAATCTCAGATCACTGACTTGCTAACATCAATTCACTTTGGGTGACAAACTGTTGTTTGGTTAAATGTTCTAACCACAGTAAAGTTTGAAACTAATAAAAGAAAAAAAGTAAATTAAACCTGTGGTTTCAATGCTTTAAAGTATTTTTGGGAAAAAAACCTTTAAAGTTTATATGGGAATAATTTAGGTCTAATTTTTAGAGTACTTGCAATGAGAATCTGACATCCTGGAGACTTTGGTAAGTTAGCTGCATAACTATAATTTAAAAATATATAATAATATGAATAAACACAATATTAAATTAGGCATCTGATTTTCTAAAAGTTAACTGCAACCTTTAAGAGAATCTGACATCCTGGAGACTGATACAGTAGCTGTGTAACTATAATTTTAAAATATATAATAATATGTATAATAAACTACTAAGTAATTTGTAGATTTATAACTATAATTGAAAAGTATAATTTAGCTAAACATACAAATAGTATTGGAATTTTTATAAGAACTTGGGATTTGCTATAGTTTTATTTCCTAAATTTAAGCCGTTCTTTACTTAAAGTTTTACTTGAGAAAGTTTTCCTTGTTAAGTTAGGTATCTGAAGTACTTAAAAATGAACACATTCAAATTAATTCAATTCTTCAATATAAATATGTTTATTTGATACATATATACAAATATATAGGTATGTATGTATTTGGTTCTTCTGTTAGTTGTGCCTGGGGTCACTCATGTGCTTATAGTTATCCTGTGGGTTGACTAGGGCTGGATGGCTTTTAAAGGATAGATTTCTCAGCTTTGAAAGCTAGTCTCTGCTACTTACTGTCATATCTTCTAACAGGTTAGCTTGGGCTTCTTAAATGATGATCTCAAGACAATAGGACAAGATTCACTGCACATGCTCTTCATAAGGCTCTATTTAATGCATATTTTTAAAATTATTATTCAAGCAAGGTACATCCTGAATCATGGGGAAAAAGTTATAAAAGGACCAAGATAACAGAATTTTTAAGACTCCCCAAAGGAGCGTAGCATAAGAGGGAGACAGAGCATGTCATGAGCTCAGTTGTGGAGTCATCTTAGGTTACATCTGAGAGTCATCTGCAAAGTAGAGGTTGCGGGTAAGAGAAAGATTTACACAAAGGGATAGATAGAGGGGGACATGGTTCACTGGGGCCATTATCGTAAACATGTGACACTATTTGTGTTAGTTGTGAGAACTTCTGGTTTTTCCTAGGCACAGAAGCGGACTCACAGATGCACAGTTTAAGTGGATGGGATGACTGATTTCTGTTTGCTTACAAAAATGGGATGTTACTATATATGTACACAAAATCCAAGTGCAATTAGAAATGTGAAAGGAAAATAAAACTTGGAATCCCAATTCATTATGCCTAAAAAAAAAAAAAAATAGGCTGAAAGCTGAGTCATGCAAGAAACTCTCTCTCCTTTTGTTCTTAAGCAGATAGCTGTAAATAAAATGTTAAATATCTTCACAGGTAGCTACTTTATTAACCTTATCTTATGTAAAATGCTGATTTACTAGCCCACAAAAATACATAATATTTATTCTCCATCTGCTCTTATTCTCTTGCAACATGTGGACACGGATTACTGTGTTTACCCTTTTTCCTCCCCCCATTGGATTTTTCCCTTTTAAATACTGAAGCCCTCAAAATCATCTTAGAGAAAGGAAGAGACTACAGACTGTTTCAGTGATTCAGTGTTTATTTCTTTTGGGCATGTCCCTAACCTTGGCAAAATAAATTTCTAAGTTGATTGAGACCTTTCTTACTTTTTGGTTTACAAAGATTACACATGAGCTACATTATAGATATATAAAACTAAAAACAATTCCTGCACCACAATTGTATATGTGTTCACTTCTTGTAATAATTTAATTGTAAAACTGTGCAAACAATAAACCTACAGAAAAAAATTATATGAATCTGGAAATATATATTCAGAAAAGTCTTCTTAGTTTAACTTCTTGGGAAACTGAGAAGTCCTCTCAATTTCATTATCATTAAATCATCTTTTACAGGAATGGCAAACTATCATGTTTAAATTTTGTAAAACTTTGGCCTGCAAAGTCTGTATTCACAGACTCCCTACTAATCTTTCCAGTTCCTCATGTTGAAAGAAGGCAAGTGTCTGCTTGTTGCATACTCACTCCTGTCCATGAAAATAAGGCAAAACAAAATGTTTAGGATACATAATGGATACAAAATGGCCATGCTTTATTTTAGAGATTGAAGAAGTAAGCTACTATGAATTTTCTTGATAAGTCAGCAAAAAGGAATTAAAAGTAACATCTAAGGAATATAAATTCATTGCTACAGAGTACAAAAGTAAGCAATTATAAAAGGTGAGGCTTTCTTGTGAAGTGATTTTGAACAGATAAAACTGTTCACAAAAGTCCAGGGCAGAAAAAGGCAGGTCCAGACAAGTGTTCTTGTAATCGGCCACCTATAAAATTGTGAAGTCCCAATTCTTGATGAAATCTGACTGATACAGAAAATCTGATGAAAAATAATAGAGTTTTGGCAGTTTTCCTCAAAAACATATAGTGAGTTACTGAACTGGAACTTGAGTTAAATTTCCCAATTCACAGTTAGGGACAAACAGGCCACAACGCATGAAAACTTAGTTGACTCGTTCAAGTCACAGCTGACTTGTTCACTGCTGTATCCCCAGTGCCTAGCACAGGGAACAAGATAAAAAATATTGTTAGAATAAGTTAAAGAATAAAATTTAGATAAGATTTTGCTTTTAGTTTATGATTGTCACTGAGATCTAGGCTACAATCTTACCTCCATCAATTGTTAGGAAATTACTTAACTTTTATGAACTTGTTCTCACTTCTGAAAAAGTAGAATAAAACTTAACCATTAGAGACCGGGCACCTTGAGTTTATGACTATGACCAAGAGAGTGGTGGAAGTAAAGGTAGAAAAGAGTAATACAGACAAAACAAAACTCGTAAGTGAATACATAAAAGTAAGCTATAATGAATTAAGAAACAAGAAAAAAACGAGGCGTTATAGTAAAAAAGACAGACTGCTATTATGAAAACAAACATATAGTAGTAAGTGTGGTGTATTTCTTCTATGAAAATAAACATGCAGTAGTAAGCACAGTGTATCACATGATATGGGCTCAATAATTACTAAATTTCATTCCTACCATTGTCAGAGGTATTTGAAACAGAGCAATTACATCTTGAATAGAGGCTGGTTAAAATAAGGCTGAGATCTACCAGGCTTCATTCCCAGGATGTCAGGCATTCTAAGTCATAGGATGAGATCGGTGGTATCATAAAGCCATGAAGACCTTGCTGATAAAAACAGCATGCAGTAAAGAAGCCAGCCAAATTCCACCAAAACCAGGATGGCGAGAAAACTGGGACCTCTGGTCATTATCACTGCTCATTATACAATAATTATAATGCATTAGCATGCTAAAAGACACTCCCACCAGCTCTATAACAGTTTACAGATGCCATGGCAATGTCAAGAAGTTCCCCTCCGTGGTCTAAAAAGGTTAGGAACCCTCAGATCTAGGAATTGCCCACCCTCTTCCCAGAAAACTCATGAACAATCCACCTCTTGTTTAGTATATAATCAAGAAATAACTATAAGAATCCTTAGTCTAGCAGTCCAGGCTGCTTTTCTGCCTATGGAATAGCCATTATTTATTCCTTTACTTTCCTAATAAACTTGCTTTCGCTTTACTCTATGGATGCACCTCCAATTTTCTCTTGGCCAGATCCAAGAACCCTCTCCAGGGGTCTGGATCGGACCCCTTTCCAGAAACACTATCTCATGTTAAATTATGAATTAAAAACACTGAATATGAAGACTATTTAATTCAAATTATCGAGTAAACACTTATAAAATTAAAACATGGTAATATTAATAAAAATAGCATGATTGAAGAACAAGCACTTTACAAATACTGGTTTCCCAGAATGTGTGAGGAGGTAGTATAGAAGAATATGTCCTCCAGAGAGATCTGTGTTCAATCACGTTATTTAAGTTAGAGTACTCAGTTTCTTAACTTAGACGGAAAATGAGGACAATGTAAGCACCTATTTAACTGGATTGTAATGAAGAATAAACAAGATTATGAATAGTATTTGGCTATAATCTTTCATAAAAGTAGTAAAATTGTTCCTATAAATCTGTCTTTAAAATTTACCTCACAAAACCAGTAATTTTTTACTTGATGCTGAGCTACTTATTTTACTTAAATTGGTGGTTTAAAAAGAAACTCATTACTTATTTTCAAAAGGAAAATTTATTGTCAAGTATAGTATTCTTTTTTAAAAGCAGCGTTTAAAATAAAGGTACAGATGAGAAGCACTTGTCCAGATAGTCGGAAATGTCATTTAGATTTAGGTCTACAGCTTCTTAGGAAAGTTAGCTAGAAATCTATCATACTCCAGCATGGCTGTGAGCAGAGGGATGAGCAAAACTTGCACAAGTAAGAGTGGAAAACACCAAGAGAAGGCGCCTTCATGGACGGGAACCCTAGGTAACCAAGCAAGTGACAACAACAGTACAGGTGAGTCCTTGGCTCCCTTCTCCCTCCACCCCGGCAGTGGCCCGGACAAGTACTAACCTCTCCACTCTGGAGCCTTCACTTCATAGTAGCTCCACAACCTTCAAGCCCCACCATCCGCCAAGGGACCTGTACTACAGGTAAGGCGGGCGGGGTCAGAAGATGCCATAATCTCTGGTCAACTCTTCGCTCGCCCCCAAACAGGATCACCACGGCGCCGCTCTCACTAACTACCAAGACAGATTCTGATACCAAACAAGGCTAAAACTTTTTTTACTCCTTCTTACAGAAGGCCCTGGAGGCCGCTTGCAAACGCCTGAAGAGAAGGCGGAGTGTTCCCACTTTTTCAGAATGGGGCCAGGCCCTACGGCCCCAATAGCAGAAGCTTCTCTAAGCCGGGACTGCTCCCCTCAACTCCTCCCTATCCGCGGACCGACAGCTCGACTTCACCTGGGAGCGGTTCCGCCAGTGGACGGTTTAGGAAAACCTCAGGAAGAGCGGCCCAGCGAGTGACGCCACTGAAGCCACAGTCATGGTCTACCTCGTTCAGGCCACCAGCTGCTAAACGCCTCAGCCGCAGCGCCTCCCGCCTCTCCGTCCTTCTCCGCTGCCCCGGTACCGTCGCAGCCTTCCGCATTGCATGCCGGGAGCACCTTACCTCCTCTTCTCAGGGACTTCAGTTCCCAGCATGCACAAGCCTCAGGCAGAACTGCAGTCTGGGATTTGTAGTCCTCGTTCCATGCCTTCTCAGCGTCCTGAACACCGACTCCTGGGACTCCGACGGAGAATCTAAACGTAAAGCATCACTCATGGTCGTGAACTGTAGGCTCTCCTTGCATCCGGGGTCTTATTCTGGCCTTGGCGGAGTAGGGGATGGTGTCGCTTAGCAGCCGCTGCCGCTTTGGCTTGCTTGAGAATCTTTGGCGGGACCCTGAGTCCGCGTGGAACTGCGATAGGGATCTGTCAGGGCCTGCGGCCTGGTCCAGCCTGGTGGTTGCGATAGTGAGGGACCTCCGCTGGTTGTCAGGCTTGGTCTAGGTGGGTAGGAGCAGCGAGTCGCTCCAAGCTCAGGTTCTTTAGCCTCCGGGCCCCTGTGCCACAGCGTAGCTACCCCGCCCCTTCCAGCCTCCGGTCCGCAGTCCTGCCTTGCTTCGATTCCAGTGTCTCCCGCACAACTTAACTCTTTGCAATTGTTAATGTTCGCATTTTTTTTTTTTAGCCCCAAATTCTGCTTCTCCATTGTCAGCCGTCCACAGACCCTCGCCCTTGGCACGATTAGGGTGTTCGCGCGCGTTGAGGGTAGGGGGTATGGAGGAGGGGATCCAGAATCTTAGTCCTAATTTAGATTAGTTTTAGCAAGGAAGCCGTCACATTTAGCCGGTACACTCTGACAGTTGGTGCCGACTGCTATGATTTTGACCAAGGCTATTTTGCCTACTTGTCTGTGTTGAGACTAAGGCATAACTATTTGCTATCATCAGAAAGTTGTAATGACATAATCTGCAAAAAATGTAAACTACTAGAAAGCCTACAATGCTGTGTACCTTGAAAATGCTAATTTCCACCTGTTTTGTTACAGAGGTGGAGCACAGTGAAAGAATTCAAGATGCCACCTAATATAAACTGGAAAGAAATAATGAAAGTTGATCCAGATGATTTGCCCCGTCAAGAAGAACTGGCAGATAATTTATTGATTTCCTTATCTAAGGTGTATAATTGATCAACAATAATAGATATATATATATATATATATATTAACTTATGATTAGTTTATTAATAAAGTGTTTTCTGCAGGGACAACTGTAGTCACAATCTGAAAGAGTTCTTATATTTTGCTTAAAGGTTATAAAATATAAAACAGTTGCTTTTTTGTTTACTTAGGTGGAAGTAAATGAGCTAAACAACGAAAAACAAGAAAATGTGATACACCTTTTCAGAATTACTCAGTCACTAATGAAGGTTTGTATATAGTAGGTTTTAATGGTAGGTTTGGCTGTTAGAGGAACTATAAAAATCTTTTCTTATATAAGGTAATCTTTGTGAAAATACTGGATAATATCTACATCACCATTCAAAAATGCAATATATTTAAATGTGGCTTAAGAATTGTAGTGTGTAAAACATCGCTGGTTTCTACTTAAAGTTTCTAAAAGGGTGTGTAGGGGAAACAGAATGAGTATATTGAAAAATTATATAGAGAAATATATCCTGAGGTCCAAATGACAAATGCAGACAATGACTACTTGTAGGGATTTGTTAAGAGGGGAAGTGATTTGAGAAGTGTTGGAAAACTTCACAAAGGATGAAGACTGAGGAATAGTTTTAGTTAAGTGGAAGGCAATGCAATGGTAAGATAGTAAGGGAATTCTAGAGCTGTTGGTTACCATAAGTAAATATTGAGAATAGGAAATATGCTTATTCTTGACGTTTGAGAAAACAAGGTGCAGCAAGTTTGTAGCAGGCTGTAGAGAAAACAAATCTTGGGTAGGTACTTTGAGATAGGCTGTTGAGGGCCTTAAAGATATGTATTATGCTATCAGCAATTGAGAAGGCAATAAAGCTTATTGAACCACAGTTGATAGGTACAAAAATATGACTTAGGAATGCAAAACAATATATATGACAAATAAAAGGACATTGGAGCTGTATAGACATCACATTATAGAGGAATTTAAACATGAAATTACGTGTTAGAATAATAGCAATTGGAACAGAAAAAAAGTAGTGGAAAAAATTACAAAGGGAGATGTTGCATTACTGGATGTAAGACTTGAGGACTTGAGGTAAAAGGGAGAATCAAAAATATTTCATGCTATTAAAAATCTAGAAATTGTAATCTTAACTAAGAAAGTTGCCTGGCATGGTTGCTCACGTCTGTAATCCTAGCACTTTCGGTGGCCAAGGCAGGAGAATTGCTTGATCCTGGGAGTTTTGAGACTTGCCTGCATAATACAGCAAATAATATAGTGAGACCTTGTCTCTACGAAAAAATTTAGTCTTGCCGATCATGGTGGCATGCACCTGTAGTCCTAGCTACCCAGGAGACGGAAGTGGGAAGTTTGCTTGAGCCCAGGAGGCAGAGGTTGCAGTGAGCTGAGATTGTGCCACTGCACTCCAGCCTGGGTGACAAAGTCAGGCCCTGTCTCAAAAAAAAAAAAAAGAAAAATTATGTATTTATTCAACAAATATTTACTGAAAATCGCCATGTGCCAGCCATTGCTGACACTAAAAGTCATAATAAATAAAATTTTTGTTTTCAGTGCTTGCATTCTAGTATAAAGGCATACTGAACCTTTTTTTTTTTAATGATTAGATGAAAGCTCAAGAAGTAGAGCTGGCTTTGGAAGAAGTAGAAAAAGCTGGAGAAGAACAAGCAAAATTTGGTAAGCACCTTGGAAAAAGTTTATGATATTAAATAATAAATTCCATTTGTTCATCAAGCTGTAGAAAATTAAATTTATTCTATAAGATGTATATAGTTGATTTTTAATACGTAACATTTATTTAATAATAAGCAATTCTAGACTCGTATTTTATGGATCTGCCATATAATTCTTTTGATACCTTATAATCATGGTGGAATCTTTTAAAAGAATTAATTTTGTTCAAATTTATTTAAAAGTTTGTTTTGTGGTAGCTAATGAATGAAAACATCTGTCTTTTTTTTTTTTTAAAAAAAAACAGAAAATCAATTAAAAACTAAAGTAATGAAACTGGAAAATGAACTGGAGGTATGTCTTTTTGTATTTCCTAGGATGTAATTGTCATTAATTTTATTTTGCATTGTTTTCAAATTTAAAAATTATTATTGGCTGGAAGAGTTATAAGGATGATAGTAATCATGGTTATTTGTTTATTCAGCATATATTCTCCATGCCTATTATGTGCCTTATATTGTACTAAGGATTGAGCATACAGTTGTGAACAAAATTAAAACAGTTAACTGCTAGATGGAGCTTGCAGTCTTGGGAAATATATAGAAAGCTTACTGGTAACTGAGGTGGAGGGTGGGTGGAGATTTGAGGAATAGTGACCAAAGGGTTTTATAGAAGTAATTTTTTACAAAGCTAAGGGCTAAAATATGAATATATTGTTGAGGAACTAAATTCAGATTCCTGAAAAGGTAGGAATGTAATATAAATGGATCAGCCTTTGAAAGGAGGAATACCCTTTTCCTTGTGTTAGGAGAGGAGGAAGAGTAGATGAGGGGAGGAAGAATGGATGTATGTAGAAGCCTTTATGTTTGTAGGCATAGTGCCTGGAAGTCAAAAGGTTGGTGATGATGTCATCTGTTAGAAAGAGTGGGAGATGGTGTGGTCACATTTTAAGAAAATCAGATAAAATTTGAAATATAATGGAGAAAAGACTGGAGAGTTGGGGATCTGGAGTCAGACAGATTTGAGTTCTAGTCCTGATTCTTTTACTTGTTAATTCTCTGAACTTGGATGACTTGTTATTTTTTATTGTATATTCAGCTCCTGGAAAAATGCCACGCACTTTCAATAAATACTCATTAAATGAATTATGGCAGGCGTCCCCAAACTTTTTACACAGGGGGCCAGTTCACTGTCCCTCAGACCGTTGGAGGGCTGCCACATACTGTGCTCCTCTCACTGACCACCAATGAAAGAGGTGCCCCTTCCTGAAATGCGGCGTGGGGGGGGCCAGATAAATGGCCTCAGGGGGCCGCATGCGGCCCGCGGGCTATAGTTTGGGAACGCCTGAATTATGGAGTTGAATTAATTCTGTGTTAGTGTTTAGCTAGGCATCTGCTATGTAATAGAAGAATAGGACAGTTGAAGCTATTGGTAGGAAAGTGGTTGAAGTGATGATTTATGAAGTCTTAACTGAATAGATAAGAAAGTCAAGACAAGATTGGGGTTGGGTGAGCAGAAGGGTAGGGAGGAGGGAGAAGTCAAGGGATTAGTGTCCTGTGAGCTCAAAGGACAGGCATAGTGGGAATAATTGAAAGAATGTTTCTGGTTGGACAAGGATCTAATGTTGGTGTGGGAGTGAGAGATGATAGTGAATTCAAGAAACAAGAAAAAAAATAGACTAAAACAAAAGTTATGTGGAAATTGCATAGGTGGGAATTTAATGAACGTCTGTGAGGCACATGCTTAAATTTCCAGTGTGTTTTGCAGAGTGACTGGTAAGTTGGTGGTTTGCTGCTACCATGAGTAGGCAAAGATGGAGAGCTGGATATCTTGTGAGAAAGCAGCTGAGGTTTTTATAGGATGATGGAGGAATGATAGGAATGATCACATGAAGTTGCAGGGTAGAGTAAACCTAGAAGTACCAATGCCTTCTCCTGACCCTAATGTATTTGAGCTATGAAGGAATGAGCACCGTCCAGCTGAAGGAGTTCCAAGGGCATTAGTATCCTAAAGGATCCAAATTGCAGTTAAGGCAAGGAGATGGAAAGGATGATTCAGTAAATAATCTGAGGATGTGAAATATTTATCTTGGAAGAGGACTTAGCACAAGGGAATGCTTTTTGAAGGAGAGAAAAAGTGTGAAAAATTTGGTTAGGGTAGAGGAAAAACAGAACTATAAGGTGAAGAGATAAATGTGAGACAGGTTAGATGACCAAATGATTTGATGTTCTGGGACATGACCTAAATTGACAAGAATATGAAGTA